TGGTTACCACATCAAAAAACACCAAAATATGCAAAAAATCATGATTTTTAACCCAGAATTTGACCCCCGCAAGTAGAATTGTTTTTCTTAAAACCTGTCTGAAATTAAATATCGCCTACTCGGTAACAGAAATACTCACGTTTTAGCATAGGTCATTCCGGTGGATTTTTCACAATATTTACACATGTGCTGAGTACAAAAATAGACTACATGAAAAGCTAGCTTTTGTTGTGTAGACACAGATTCGTAAATGCCCAAAATTGTAGTCTCAAACCAAATTCGACTTTTCTTTTTTTTAAATTATGAAGCCCACATAGTCCACTTCATCATGTATATGCCAATTTTAGTGCTGATTTTTTTTTTAAATTTTGATACATGTTATATTACAGGGGTTATTCATTGTATAAAAATATCACCCATGGCCACCGTACGCTACTGTACTCTGCTACCTTATACATCCCTTTTTTTCCCCAAAAATTCAATCAAAACCTTTTAAATGTCTGGAAAATGACACAATGAACAAAAAGATGTATCCGTTTCCTTTCTCACTTTAAAAGTGACCGAGTAATATGAATTCTCCTGCTAGGTGATTTTTTACCAATTCTGCTCTCAAACTACCAACAAAGGGAGGTAATCTGAAAAATTAAAACTTGAATAACTTTGTAGTTTTCAGGAATAATTTTTTTTTTGGGGTAAAATATGATGCTTTAAGATCATGTGCATGTGAAAAACAAAACAGAACAGTGATACAAGGATGTTTCTGTCTTGTGTGATGACGTCATAGTTACTGTGATGTCATCATAACTATGACGTCATCAATGGGCATATGTGACATCATCAAGGCTCACTGATATCAAAATGAATACCAGGAAACCCATCACAACAACAAACTAGAAACAGACACACTTCCCGTAACCGATGAACAGCACAAAACTGTCAGATATTCTGAAACATCAGACAAATGACACCATAGCAACCGTTGTTTACTTTCCTCGCCTAGAATTGACAGTGACCCCAGACATTGGTCATTTTACATATTTCACTAGAAAAAAAAGTTTTCTTCAGCTGTAATTATGGAAATAAAATTTATTGACATTATTGACTTTGTTAATTTAATCTGTAAGCTGAATCAAGTGGAAAAAAACATATAAAATAGTGTAATTAGAATGAAAACAGATATTTTACCCATTTTCAATAAATACAACTTTATGTGTTAGTTACCATGGATACCGGGTGCTGAACTAAGTGAAACAGACTGAAATCTGGTCTGAATGCATCAGGAGATAGCCTGTTAATTATTTGTTGTTTGGTATCAACTTTACCAATTACACAATTGACACATATGTGATGAAGTGTGAAGTGCCTGTGAAAAGGGCGAGTTAACCCCTCTTTATACATTCACAGGTAATAGGCTAGTGACCTATATATTGACCTTTATATGTAACTTTTTAAACGTTTTGAGTAGTTTTAAGCAATAATGAATGAAAGTGAAGCTGAATAAAGCATAAAAAGGCTTTTTTTCAGAAAAAATCAATGTCTGTGTGTATAAGGTGGCAGAGTACAGTAGAAATGGCTTGACCCTAAAAATAAAGGGCATCTCTCGGATAAACATGGATAGCGGATTCATCCTGCACAACACACCTACATATATATATATATTTATAAACTACATGTTTAATAGGTGTTTTTTAGAAGAACATTTTTTTTTTCAAAAAGCAATTTCCCCAGATTTGGGACTTCTGAAAACCATGGTTACCACATCAAAAAACACCAAAATATGCAAAAAATCATGATTTTTAACCCAGAATTTGACCCCCGCAAGTAGAATTGTTTTTCTTAAAACCTGTCTGAAATTAAATATCGCCTACTCGGTAACAGAAATACTCACGTTTTAGCATAGGTCATTCCGGTGGATTTTTCACAATATTTACACATGTGCTGAGTACAAAAATAGACTACCTGAAAAGCTAGCTTTTGTTGTGTAGACACAGATTCGTAAATGCCCAAAATTGTAGTCTCAAACCAAATTCGACTTTTCTTTTTTTTAAATTATGAAGCCCACATAGTCCACTTCATCATGTATATGCCAATTTTAGTGCTGATTTTTTTTTAAATTTTGATACATGTTATATTACAGGGGTTATTCATTGTATAAAAATATCACCCATGGCCACATGTACGCTACTGTACTCTGCCACCAATTCAATGATGTGCTCTAGATAAAAGCATGATGTGGTGCTAAGAGTTTAAGGGGTTTTTTCTTCTTTTTTATATAAACAGAGGTACACATGTCTAAACTGCCTGGAAAAGATGTGATAATATTACACACACACACAAAATAGGACATAGGTACTGTTTTTTTCCTTCTAACCTTTCAGTTCAACTACAATCACATTCCAATAAACATGTTCCTGTGATATTTGCTTGTCGCATAAAATAAAATAATTTCAGATAACAGCTTTTGGTAACAAAAATCTATTTAATATTCTATCCCACATTCGACTACCAAAACAATCAATACATAGCATGATCATCACTATAGGTTGATAAATATTCCGTACACTTTGGGACTATCATGCGAAACGATCTCATCGATGGAGCAATAACTATAGGCGTGGCAGTCCAATGTTTGGTGATGCAATATCTTGCATTATGTTCATTCGGCACTAGCATTCAGTGGGGAATTATGCATTGAATTATTAAGTATAAATTGTATACATTTGAAACCACAAGGGAATATCAGCCCATATATACTAGCGGAAAAAAGAAACTGTGCATGCGGAGAATTGTAATAGAACATGTATTACCAACTGTATATACATGAAAATTCACACACATGACCGAGTATGACACATACACACGATCCGTGTGTCATTGGCAGTTTTTCCTGCGCAGTTTGCTCTCTATAGGCGTTGACCAGTTTGCACGTTTTTCTCGTCCAGCCATCCAATTCGACAATGAAAGTTTATTTTTCAACTGTTGGGTCACTCTGTTGAGACCAGCGAACAGTAAAAACAGCATTATAACGTTTTTATTTGTGATTAATGCTATGCCGAGGCTCAATGAAAATGACCGCTTCCGGATTATTGGTATGCTTCAAGCTGGTATTGACCACGCCCATGTCTCTTCACGTTTTCATGTCCATCGAAACACAATCCGGGATTTGTGGAGACGACATCAACAGTTTGGCCACGTCGGCGATCGACCTCGTGCGGGACGTCCACGTGTGACGTCACGTCAACCGGGCAACCATATTCGGCTTGTCCATTTAAGAAATCGCTTCCAAACGGCAAGTTTGACTGCACGGACAATCCCTGTGCTGCTACCAACAAGCCCGAGAACTGTACGGAACCGATTGCGTGAACGAGCTATCCGTCCGCGACGTCCTGCAATCCGCCAAGTTCTTCTGCCGCGTCATCGTGTAGCACGTCCGGACTGGTGCAGAAATTTTGCGATTTACTCGACGGGAATCGGCAGGCATTTTGTTTACAGACGAGTCGCGAGTCCACCTGGATAGTAGTGACGGCCGTTCCAGAGTGTATCGTCGCGTTGGATAACGTTTCCGTGACGCGTGTGTGGTACAACGTTCTTTCGGGGGAGGCAGCGAATCACAGTCAACGGGAGAACACCTCTGGTGGTTGTTAACGGGAATTTGAACGCGCTACGTTACCGTGACGAGATCCTCCGGACCCACGTCGTTCCATTCGTGCAAGGGCAGCAACGTCCCATTACGCTACAGCAGGACAACGCCAGGCCACACACAGCTGGTGTCGCTATGGACGTTCTGGCCCAGCAGAACATTGACGTTTTGCCCTGGCCTGCTGTATCCCCCATCTGTCGCCCATTAAACACGTCTAGGATGAAATAAAGCGCAGATTACGGGCATTACCTAATCAACGGTGACGTTGGCTGATTTGGCTGCAGCGTTGGTACAGATCTGGAATGCCATCCTATAAGCATTCTTGAACCGTCTGATAGGCTCCATGCGTCGACGTTGCCAGGCTTGCATTCAGGCAAACGGTGGACATATGAGGTCAGGTATTAACTTTGTGAACTCAGTATTGACCCCTGCTGTGTTTACGTCACTGCTGAGCGGAACTTATTGATTCCATAACGTGGAAAATGGAATGCAACTGTTAATAAATAACAAATAAATTACACATTTTAAGCATGCACAGTTTCTTTTTTCCGCTTGTATATAATGACAGGGGTGATGACTACACACCAGTACAATACAGGTACATGTAGTACAGGAATATCCAAGTAGGATCATTGACCTGACCGGACACATGAGATTACTCAGGAGTGTTTGGGCAACACCCTTACACCTAGAGTTAATGACAATGTTAGGGAAGCCATAGAAAACAAAGGTTCAACTTTTCAATGTGATATTCACATATGAAAAGGAGGAAAATGTTCAGATCGATTTTTGACACAAAAAAGGGTGTTGCCTTGCATCCGCAACTGGGTGGGGTCGACTTTTCGACATCGAGAGCTTTCCGCCCCTCTCGTATTTATGATCACTGGGGGTAGTAATGTGCAAAGTTTCGCCACAAGTGTGTCCAGCACGTGGTCTCTCGGGCTTTCAACTACAGGGAACTTGGTCTGAGAATGAACAGGACAACAAGCGATCAAATCTTGTCTGGCAGGTTTTCAATGGCAGGGAACTTGGTCTGAAAACGAACACGAGACAAAACGAGCAAATGTAGTCTGGCAGGTTTTCACCGGCAGGAAACTTTGTCCGAGAACGAACAGAAGAAGGGGCGGCAATCGCAAATCTGTAGTCTCTCAGGTTTTCACCGACAGGAAACTTTGTCCAAGAACAAACAGAAGAAGGGGCGGCAATCGCAAATCTGTAGTCTCTCAGGTTTTCACCGACAGGAAATTTTGTCCGAGAACGAACAGAAGAAGGTGCGGCAATCGCAAATCTCTAGTCTCTCAGGTTTTCACCGGCAGGGAACTTTATAAGATATGAGTACAAAAAAAAACGAATAAAAAATGTATTAAAAACGTTTAATGGAATAAAAAATATTGCCAAGATAATCTTGTTGCATCGTAAGTTGTTTTAAAGTTAATTTGCGGTCAATCATATATAATTATTAAGTTATAAAAGTTCGCAGTGAAATTAGAACAGAAATAAATCATTACTTCGTCAGCGACTGCAAATTGTTACAATGGAGTGAAATTTATTAGAAATGCTGAAACTTTCCACAGTATGATGACAAATTTTATGTGAGTAATGAGTTAATATTTTTGCACCGTCTATGAGCAAACAAATACCAAACAGGATATCGGACCGAGTTGTCCCGATAGACAGTGATTCAATACTGCAGATATAAACATATGACAAGTGAATCAAATAAATTAAGGATCTTTGTACCACTGCAGGCAAAACATTAGAGAGTTCTACCCTAGTATTTCGTGCATACAGTAACCTCCCTTTAATTTTTGCTTTTGGATGAAGCGTGATTTGTCACGGGTACACAACTACTGACGAGGTTGCACTCAAATGTTGGTAACTATTTTTGGTTCATTGCTTTTTTAATATTCATTTTTTTCAAAAAAAATCCAAGAGGAAAGGTTTTCTTTTCAGAAATGTTTTATCAAAGCTATGCCAGGATAAGAGTTTTCCCGTGAAAAGTTACAAGTTATTTTTATTTTGCAGTGGTACGTGGGTCCTTAAATAAAACCTGATGAATTGATATAGAAATGTGGATGTACATGCAGTAGTAGGCTCTTGGTATTGCCCTACTCAAAGGTTAAACAGATTACAATGCATGGGGGTTTAGTAGTACCATAACAAATTAAATCGTACTGGGACCTACTACTATGTCCCAGAATAGCACCATCAATCATTTCACACTTACAAAGTATCTACATGTCTACAGTCACTAGCCATTGTATGACACAACATCCAGTAGAAGACCAGCACTTACGGACGATTGTGAAGACTTTGCAAACATTAATTTGAGAGAATATTCTACAATAAATTATTATAAAGTTCTGTATTTTAAACCCCTATTGTCTGGTAGTCTTCCACTATACCACAGAGCACATTTCCTAATAAATGTTTAAAGATTCAAAATGGCCATCCTCACATAATTTCATGTAAAAATCTTAATTTCTACACATTGGTTGCAAAAAGTTAAATTTGAAAAATAAACTTAAAGAGTCATGACTTATGAAGCTAGAAATAATTGAATTCAGTGATGAAGTATTGGTTTTAGACTCCGGTTCTGGTAAATGTGAATGAAGGGAGGCAACTCTTAGTCTTGTTATCTTAACATGCGTAATAGGTTCATTGGTTAACAAACTGACCCAAGTGGGCTTTCGACCTAAACTTATTTCACAATTATTTTGTGTACTTGCATTGTAATATTCAAATAAATTGGTTTTTGATGGATGAAAACTATAAGATATATACATATATATATATAATAGGATATCCTGCAGACACAATATGAATGCTTTTGTATAAAAAAAATCTTCAATTTCTGACTATTGATTCGTTGACAAATTCAGATTTTAAAATAACTCTAAATCTGTGTTGTATTTTTTTTTTTAATGTAACTACCTCATATGGAAATGCAGCAACTCAGAATCAGTGATTTTCGGACTCCGATATTTGATACAATAGGTACTTTTAGTGTAAGATCTAGCTAAAATACACTAAAACCAAACAGTTTGTATAAAACTGTGAAATTAATATCCAGCAAATTCTCTATGCTTTAACAGTAAAACCAATGAAAATAAACATGACAACCAACCAAAGACCTATTGGTGTGGAACATGAATTAAGATATTTATAACAAAACCAATTTACAAATTGGGATACAGATCAGTGGATCAACAAAAGGTGTTTCAGAACCCATGGCTTTCAAATGACCCTCGACAGACAGCAATTTCAGAAGTCTTATCAACACTTTCCCTGAAATATATAGGGTCAAAACAAATGCCAAATACACTACATGTAGACATACATTGTACTTTCAACCCAAAAGTGAAAATTTGTTTTCAAGAGTGAAAAGAATACTGTACTATCAAGGGCCTGCTGAAAGCCAGGGCACCTTTAGCAAATTGTAAATTTAAACAATGAATACAACAACTCTTTTTCTAAAATTTAACATCTGGTCAATATGTTAAAAACATACATATTCATGTACAGTAAATGAAGGGTTGTTTTTAGTAGTCTTCATTGATAAGTACATTTATAATTACTAATATACAGTATGTTTCTTTGGCAAAAATCATTGAACACAACCAAAACAGACCAGAAACACAACACGTTAACTCACCAACTTACTTACATAAACATATATACATTACTATGTGAACATCATGTAAAATATTTTGCATTGCTGTATCTGGTCAGAATATTCACATAGTACACACAACAAAGAAATGAAATACATAATAATGTCACTATTCTGCTGACATAACAAATAGAATCAAACCCTCATATACCTAACCAGTGCATATAACATACAATGTATATCTCATGGTTTTTCCAATTTTGGTATCATTAAGTAAAATAAAAAGAATACAGATTATAGCAATATTTTTGTCTGGGTTAAGAAGGCATGTTTAAGTTGTTCCAAGTATAAGGAAACTATAATAAAATCAAAATAATAAGAGTACCATTTATATTCATAAGCATTTACCTTTAAACAAAACCAAGATACTGTAGTATGATACTCATAACTGTGTTTAGAATATCTGTTAAGTATTCACTATCATTCAACCTAGTTGAAACTTTGCTCTAACTTTAAATTCCTTGTTCCAAATAAAAAATAAAAAATAAATAGAAAATAACTTTTAATTCACCTGCAGAATGTCTTAATGTAAGAAAAATTAGAATGTCCAGAAAAACCATCCTCAAAAACTTTGAGAATGTTGGACAGGTAACCTCATATCTTTTAATATATGATCGCGTTAAATGGAACCATGTATATATGTATAGTCCGCTTGGTGAAAGGTGATGAGTGCACTATCTAGTGCCACCTAATTACTGACCTTGCTATTTATAATGTGTATGATTTGATTTGTTAAATTACATTTTCAAGAGAGTATATCAGAAATAAAGGTATTTTCACCTAATTTTAAATAATGATATTGTATAATCAAACATGGCATACCTGTAAACTAAAATAGAACCTTCACTATTTATATATTTATGTTTTTCGTTATATACAACCAAATTTGTAAAATAGTTCTGTTACTGTTTGGCAGAGTTAAGGTGTACAACCAAACTGTAAAGGCATTGGATATCTATGCAAATCTAATACACGTAATTGTAAATCTATGCCAAACAGTCAAAATGGTTCATTTTTCAGAAAATGAATAAAATTTCTTCCAAGATAATCAACTTTAGTCAGTTGATGGAACTTTCAAGCAAGGTCAGGGTATTACTGATGTATTTCTGAATATGGCTAGACATTTTAAGATGCAACAAAAAACAACATATTCATTTAAAATCTGACACGATAAAATAAATTTCAAGAAATGCATTCTTAACAGATTAATTTTTAAATAAATACTATTCAGAGGATGGTTTGGGATGGATGATTAATGCATATATTTTTAAAATCACCCTGAAATATTCATACACACACGTCTCAAAATTTTGAAATTAATCAAAACATTATTTGTGTTCAATCTTAACAAAAAATTAAATAAATACAATTGCATACAGTGAGTACACATGAACACAAGTCCAAGCCCCATTTCCCCCCAAAATAAAACGTCAATGCTCAGATTAAAATTTCCCCTAAAATTAGTTACGTTTGAACTAAATGATACCTTAGCTTAGCTACAATCTTTAAAGACTTTAATCCTAAACTTACATTTATATAGTGTTTGATTCACAGGTATAAGAATAAAGTCTATTTGTATATAGTCCATGTGCACAAAGCAAATGTTGTATTTTTATCAGTTTGAGGATGTGATATACTCCCTTTACGTTAAAATTAATGTACAGAACTGTAGCAATTTACCTGGGGAATAAATCTATAAATATTAAGTCTAGTTTATTCAGAATCTATGAAGTGTTATAAACTTCATATTTTAAATTAAAAAAAATTATGAGATTTAAGACTCCAAATAAAAAATCTTCCTGTATGTTACAATAATAAAATAGATAAATCGTGATATTTAAAACATGAAGAAATTGTAAATAACTGTTCTAACACAAATGACAGACTGAAAAATGACACTTAAAATAATTTACTTGGTCAGTTTAGAAAGAACTTTGAAGATATGATCGCACATACTGTTTTCATGCTCAAATAAAAACAGTTTAATGCCATTTTGGCACGTTTTAGGCATGCTTCATAATTTGCTTCAACGGTTAAGTTTAAGAATAAAAAACAGGACAAATTTGTAAAAATAAAAATAAATCAATATAAAGTGCATTTTAGCATTATTGTAAGACTAAAAGTATACTAGGCACTGCATGCTTTAAAATAATTACTATCTTTCTATTACAAAGTAACTTGTTTTAAGCAAAACCTACAAATTGTACACACAACCGCTAGGTGTTAACATAAGGAAACGTAAATAAGGATTTTCTGAAGACTTGGTAGCATGCATGGGCCAAGGGTCATCTTACACATTCAACGTTACTGTCCCATTAAACATTTTACAACAGACAGAAAGGAGTAGAGAAGACAAAATTTGTAATAATCACTGTAGACTTTATGGAATACCTGTTAACTACAAACACTTTTACTCCTAATCCTGCAAAATTGTACCATGCAAATTTGAAACAAGCATTGCTACATACATTGAGGAAAGGTTAATGGGAAACAAATTACTTGAAAAAGTGAAATCCTATATAGCCTTCCTACCCATAAATTACTACCATATTTTTTCAGATCTTTTGAACTGAAACATGTTTATTTTTGTTACTCCCAATACTCATAAGGGTCCTATTGGGTTTGTTATGAAGGTGTTACACAGTCACTATTAACATACATTATTGTAAGTGAACATACAGGACTGTATCCTTATATAAGCCAAACGGTTAATCTACATTCAGCTCATTTAATATAATTTAGACTAAAACTACACAATTTCAACATCTCTTTTACAAAAAAATGCAAAATAACCTCATTTTTGTAACTCTCAGCATACAAAAAATCATTGTACATGTTCATACACAGTTATTACAGAGAACATCATCTATCCTCAAAATCAGTAGACATTTAAATAAATATTTACTCTTGTCCACCTCACAACCAAACATTCTAGAGATCTTGACTCACAGTCGGATTTCTCTTCACATATATACAAACGTTTTACTGATCTAGACATCCCCATCAGGAGTCTCTGGAATTGTCTGCAGGTGACCCCTTATCCCAGACGACCTTGACCCATCACTGTTATCAGACTCGAACACATCATCAACATACTCATTGAGAAGTCTTCTCTGCGGCCGATAGTTGTTGCGACGTGGAAGTCGTGTGTACCGGTCGACGTTAGCACGGTGAGAGGTGTTTTGGGACAGGTGTTCTAGGAGTGGGGACACAGGGGAACCGTTGGAGATCTGGGTGAACTCTTCCAGAGATGAGGGGACATAGCTGGAAGGACGTCTATGTATTACTACATATTCCCCCTCCATTTCACCTGTGAAAGATATTGACGATTATATTATATTATACATGTTATAACAACATTGTGACTAACTAAATTTCAGTTACTTTTCTCCAAAATTTTCATCCTATCAGAGAGCATATACTTTGTGTTATAATAACATTAAGTTGAATTTTTAGGAATGAAGAAATATCTAAGGTAGAAGTACATATTATATATAGATGATGTACAGTTTTTCACAAAGTATTTTCAGGGTTTGTTATGAGAACAATTTTCTCATCACAAGCACATGGATAAAATCAAGAGGCCCCTGCATGTGGAATTGAGATTTTATATACGTGTGAGGAAAGAAAAAATTGTTCAAAATGATGAACCCTAAAAACAGTGTGATAATCTATAAATGTCTTTTTAACTCAATTGCAATAATGCCCATGATCACACACATGGAATAAATCACATGGAATAATCCAATACGTCATTTCTGAGATACAAGTTTCCTGAACAAAAGTCACATGATTTGGCTGCAGCCCTGTGGTATATTAAGGGGGCATGTATACTTTCAGTGTATGATAAATCAGTAGCAGACCAATTTCATCAAAGTAAAACATTAGTAAATTGGACAAAAATGGATAAAATTTCACATCCTTCAAGAAAGGGATATGAACTGACTATTACCTAGTCATTAGATAACATAAGTAGTCTGGAGCTGTAGTTTTTTTGGTAAGGTTTTGTGCAACTCTCAGATTTTCTGTGTTCACCAGAAATACTCATGCCCCCTAGCATGTGACATGTAAATTTTAATACCTGGTCATATATGGAGAGAAAAAGTATTTCGAAAAAGATGTATTGATATATAAAGACGATCATCAGTATTCATTACCTCTTTCTGAAGATGACTGACTCCTCGTCTTAGTCTGCCGATACTTCAGAAATCTGGCGTATGTCACGAAAACAATGACAGTAGCTACCACGACAAGCAAACACAATACCCCTATCAGAGAGAAGGCCAATTCACGCCAGTGTTCCATGTCACTCTTCTCCACAAGGTCATACTTTGGCAGTGTTTTATTATACAGTGTATCTGACAATACTTTCTGTGATCCATGTGATCCCTGGACTTCAAAGGAAAAGCCTAAAAATGGCCCACAGACCGTGTCTTTATCTGCATGACAAAACTCAATTACGATAAGATCTGGCGGACATTCAGTACAGTTTACACAGCTCTCATCGGGGGTTATATAGCGATCACCACTGCACTCTACTGGCGGCTTTTGATCAAATGCAGATGGTTTGGTCCTCTGTCCCATCACCAGTAAAGTGTCCAGTAGGCCCAGAAGTAGGGCTAACAATGCAGCCATTTCACGTACACTTCTCATTTGGAATTCTAAATAAATAGAACAAGTTATAATTAAACCTAACTTTAAAAGATTAGAAAAATGTAAAATTTTCTTTTTAAGTTACAATTGAAATCTTAATTACGATGGTACAAATGGTGTATAAGTGAAAGAGAATCATGTGCCTGATCTTTAACTGAGTGAGGCAATGGAATAAGTATAAACTTGTGGCTGAGTTCATATTAATTGTACATAGGATTACGGTCGAAGCTATAGAGGGAATGTCCCTTTTGCATAGTGGTAGAGCGTCTGACTAGGGACCAGGAGATTGAGGGTTCGATCCCTGGTGGAAGCACACTATTCTCTTTCCTAACATTACAAACTGTTGATAAACACCTGCCAAAATCTGTTCAAAATAAAATGAAAATGTTTGACATTTTACACAGGATGAGTATCACATTTTCCTATGTCATGAGACTAACTACATAATCTGTTTAACATGCATGGCCACGAAATTATACTTCAAAATCTGTCAAATGTCTGAAATACTACATACCTTCAATGAAAACTGTATTATTATTGAAGATCTGTATCTTATTATTTCTTAAGTACTTTAAATGAACCAAAGGTTTTTATCGTATATATATAGTTCTAAAAAAAAAAACATCTTTCTGGCTAAATAATGTTCTGTATATTGAATGTTTTAGAGTGTCCTGTTGAAGTTGAAGAAGGTTTGGTTGTGAGAAAGAATACACATATTTTCAATGCCGGGTCGTTTCGGGAGTGTCAAAAGTCGTTTCAGGACATTTCGATTATTTTCTACTGTTTGTTTAGCACACGTGTTTATGTTTGTTTTGTTTACTTTTTAATTGAGTACTCGATTATTTTCTACTATTCGTTCCTCTCGATTTAATAATGGAATTAGTTTATTCAAATTAACAACATGTTGTCAAACAGGTTACTGTCGGCAGGTACCCCCTCAAGAAATCTAAGCGTGGCACTAATTGGCAAAACTAATAATCCCAAGCACGGGTAGGTCGAAGGCGCCATATGTGTACTATTGTGTACACATAAATCGTGACGTCATTGCTGATAGGCTACGACGAAAGATGTGTTAACACAGATTTTTACGAAACAGGAAAGAGAAATGTTACTTGTTACATTCATTTATATTTTGATAACATTTTTTAAAATGTCCCGAAACAACTTTAGGACTCCCGAAACCACTTGTTACCGAAACGACTAGCATTCATCCTCTCAGTCTGTGATATGTTTCAAAATGTATCTGTGATTATGTTGAATATATGACCCTTTATAAGAATATAACAAAATCCTGAATTACTGGTGTGCAGGTGGAGCATACCATGCTGGTAGGGGGCTCCCCAACCATTGGACCTGTACTATCCTTTCTTAAGTTCTTCTTAATTTTATATCTTTTATAAGCAAATGTGATCAAATAATAAATGAAATTACAAATGTGATAAATGTAACATGCCACTTTTACCGCATTAAATATTATTATTATTATTTATTTAAATATGTTTTATTGGATGCTTCCTCTCTAATTGTATCTTTCACAACATGAACATATCTTGTTTAATTAATGAAACCTTGTTTTATGTATGTTTTATCTGTTATGTCGATTATAAAAGCTCGCTAAACGAGCTTGTGTTTATCTTAGTAATCATATCGACGTTAAATAAAATGTACTTGACTTGACTGTATCGAATCGTCTAAAATTAAAAAATCCGAAAACAGGGGACCGGGGGAGTGTCAGTGTAGGGATGGTGCCCTGCCAAAGACTTTTTTGTGTTATCAAAGTCGATTATAACTACTGTATGAAGTTAGTGATTTGTTTCATATGTCATCGTTTACCTGAGGTAGTACCATGTTTGTATCTGTAATGTTACCATCCCGACAGCAATCTTCACAAGCGGAACCAAGTTTGGTTTCTCCACTGCCGAAATCTTACCGGAAATACAGGTCACGTGATTATTTCTAAACTCGAAAACATACCGGTACTTTCCGCGCTGAAAATCCGGAAATCATATTATAACACACAGGGGCGTGGATTGCTTTATTTGTAATATTAAAAAATAGGGGTCTCCTATACTAATAAATACATTAAATATCGATGAAAAGTTACTTAAAATCAAATATGATAAAACAATTTATAGTAAAACTACGCGTAAAAGAGAAACAGTACCACAACGAGAAAATATTTTACTAAAAAAGATTGTATAAGTAAAAATTCATTTTTACTGATATTATTTGACCCTAATTAATTTTGTTCAGAAATACATGTCTCCCATAAAATCCTATACTATCAGACACGTTATTCAAATCATCATAAATACATACATATATATATACATTAATTACATATACATGCATATCATTTCTTTTTTGTTTCTCAAAATCACCAAAATCAAAGACTAACTGTGTTTAATAATCTACATGTACAAGGTATTAATCATGATATTGACACTGAACTCCTATTTTATTGGGAAAGACATTTACCTATAGACATGAATGTGAATATTTTTAGAATAGTTCAAACTTACATAAAGGCCAGCAACAGATTTACAGTTAAAGACATTTTTACTAACTAAAGTTACTGGAAACCAGCTTTGTACTTTCATCCTACCATATTTTACATGTTTAGTTCCTTTTATGCCATTACTTTAATTTATATATGTGCTGATTGAAGAGAGTGTCGATAATGTTGTTTTAACTTGTGATTAATCCATTTGAACTTTTGTATGACAATAAAATGTGTTTAAACTAATTGCATTGTACGTATGCATGTACACACCCATTCGGCACACCTCGGCAGATCTACATCTAACATGAAGGGTACCGGAATCGGCCGAAGTTAGCCGAATGCGGCGACACCGTTACCTTGCGCGCACAGGGACCTGAGAATTTTCATACAGATATATTTGAACCTAAACTAGGTGTTCAGAGCAATTTTTCACGTTTTAGCCCGAAAACGTGTAAAATTATTCTAATCATCTTAGTTTAGGTTCAAATATAGCTGTATCAAATTATCAGGTCCCTATGCTTGCGCGTGCATGTTTCCTTTTTCAACAGACCAAAGCTCTTCCAAAAGCCTCTCCTGCAAATGTTAACGACTAGTTTTCTTGTCGAATGAGAGTACACGCATTTCATTTTATATGTATTTAATTTGAAGATTTGCTAGCGGACAAGCAAAAACGTTTCTGGGTAGTATTAGAAACCTCTAGAATATTAGAAACAATCTGTTCAATCCCTGTTTGCAACCTAACTGTCCTTGTCCCCGTTGGAAAGCTGATTGGGACTGGTTCAAAGTGTATATAAACATAGTGTACTGCATTCATCTGTACTTATACATGTATAGAGCCCATTGTACAATCTCGGCCTGTGAGATAATACCCTATCTTTAACTCGCTGTCACTGATGCCCTTGACGGGCGTTTTGTACAAAGCCTCGGATATATATGAACAAGATGAACAGCGAGAACAGTTTGAGTTAAGATAACAAATTGATAGGATATCGTGACGTTTAATATGACCGATTGATGTAAACCTGGACCAGAAAATCATGGCGTCGATCAGTTTTCTTACCGTAGTTTTAGTGGTCATTTTCGCGTTTTCGATGACTAATGGTCAAAAGCCATGCTGCTCTCCAGAAAAGTGGACGGCACATCTACTCCAAAAAACAGGGGCGTACAACTCTGCAACGACCGTGGCATCCAAAAGAGACGTTAGTAGCTACATATTCTATGATCACACCGTGAAAAAAATGGCGATCAACTCCGACATCAAGAACACAACCTTCAACTCAACCACGTTCATACAGCGAATCTTGGACTTCAGTAAGGTACTAAAAGCTTTTAATTTTACTGAATATATATATATTAACGGTAGCCCGAAATTCTCTGATCTTTATCAAGACTATTACTTTGATAGCTTCGAGTTGTCTACTGGAAAAACCAGATTTATTTTGCAGCTACATGTATGCAATACTGTGCTTAGAAACATGTTCGTGGACTAATGAATTCGCGAAAAGCGTTAGTTTGTCAGTTTTGGGTTTAACGTCTTGACAAAAGCCAAGGTCATATAAAGACGGGTGTCTCCACCGAGAAGAATGTGACGAAGAAGACGTGAGAAAAGAAGATATAAATCTCAAGTGTTCTGATAGGGGCAGCAGATCAATTTGGATTTCTTCAATGTCCCTTTAGTAACCACTGTATCTAGGAAACAGAAGAAAATCCCCGATTCTGCGGAGGTTCCACATCAATCGCCTCTTAAGACACGCAGAGGTAAACAGAAGACACAATGTGTCCCGAAACTTGCAGGAGCAAAAAAACGTAGTAACAGACTTCTGGCCATAGTTACAGCATTGTACATGCAGCTTGAAGAAAAACTGTTACAGTCGATATATGTGTATTCTGTATCAGCTGAACCCCTTGTAAACCGGCCAAATACCATTTAGAATCAGTCACATAGAATTCGGATAAGTTATGTTCAAAGACACAAAATGCAGGGTCCCTTACAAATGCTACCTTTGTACACGAGTTATGTCCCTTACAAAACGCTTTAATAGCCTTTCCTAATTAAGAAATACCAGATTACGTCTTATGCACCTTTATACTTTTTCATTTCGAAAGGGCAATCAACGAGTAATTACACTGAAAAATAACAAATACTATTCATTAATCTGTTTCTTACAAGGTTTTTTTTACATGACCACTCTTCTGAAAATGAAATAAGTGTAAAATTTGAGGCAGCATTATCCTTAAGCATGATGTAACTCCCTATTTTCTTTCGCCTCAGGGTGTGGAGTGGAGGATTGAAGGAAAGAACTGTACACGTCACCAGACAACGGCGCCAATGCCCCAGCCGTGTTTCTTGGGTACGTCACAGAGAAATGCTCACAAACTTAATTTAGTTGTTTTATTATAAAAAATGACAAGAAATATTTGTATGTCAGATGTTTGAAAAGACTTAATCTTCTAAGGGTTAATTGAATAATCAAATAGAAAACCTTGATAGGAAAGACATATATGTATGGTCATATACGTCGTTTCTGATACAAAGTAGGTTTTCAAATATAGCTGCTTGAATCGTATGGAGCCAAAATTCATGCTAAACACCAAGTTTTTTAAAGCCATGATAGATTATAAAATTGGAATATTTCGTAATAAATTGAGAAAATTACTTAATAAAATATACAAAGTTACAAGACATTGAAACAAATAATAATATCATGGTTTTAATCGTTTTGAACTTTAGGATTCAAACAATTGCAAGGATTTTTTTTTTGTGATTATCATATAGTTAACGGTAAGTTTTAAGGATGTACCAGGTATATAAGGTCATCACACATTACATATGGCTTTCTCTAGATGGTGCGGATTTCTTCGGCTACCACAAGATGGCTGAAATGCCAGTAGAAGTATGGTTCAGGGACGATGGCAAAGGTCACACGTCAAGAACTACCATGTCACGTGAGCCATGCGTGCTCGTCACCGAGACGACGAGATCCATGGGACCGGGTTATGGTGAGAACATTTTGATTGATTGATTGTTTGATTGAGAGGTTTTACGTCCGTGTCTCTACTGAGTAGTTCGGCTATCCAGCGGACGACATATAACACATGTTACCAATGCCAGTCTTAATACGTTCGATATAAAGGCCGAAGGTCAAGGCTGGGTCAAGGTCATCTTTGTGTGAACAGTTAAGTTCAAACCGCTTTAGTACAAATTTGCAACGAGTGTTAGGTTTTAAATGTCGTTCTATCAATTTCTTCACTAATTTATCTTATGTTATTGTAATAGAAAAGAGTAGCGAACATAATAAGCATGTTCATTGGTGTTAGAACACACGACCCCTGACTTTCTATAAGATATACCGAACCACTATCAACAAACTATAACTATGCATTGGGATTTCCCCCCAGAATAGCATCGTTGAATCATTGTCAAAAGAAACTCATAAAAAACTACAGTAGAACTCTCCAGAGTGTTCCCCCTTTGACGGGACAAAGATCTTTAAGGCCAGTTCTCTTTAAGCCCGGAAACTACATTATACACGTTACATGACTTTAACACATATTTTTTTAAGTTGCTGTGTAGACGTTTGCAACACTTACTCGGAATTCCTCGGGTGGTTCGTTCCTCGCACGCTGGTGATGCACTCGTCACATCTCGGCAGATTCCGTACCTACATCAGATGAAGGGTACCGGAATCGGCCGAGGTTAGCCGAATGGCTGGTGATGGAGCTAGCGTATAGCGGAGCCACCCGATGTTTGACGAATGCTTGCAACACCGCCGCACCCGGGGTCATGATGAGATGACATTTTACTTAATACCAAGGGTGTGCAGTCGGAAGTTTAGAGGGCATCCGACTCGCCGACTTGAGTAAAAGTTATAATCAGGAAGATCCTGGTCTGCAGTACATGCATGCATATAGAGGGTAACAGAAAAGAGATGAGAATGTGGGTTGAATATGCGACGGTTTAACTGTACGATTAGTACTCAGATTTACACTTATGCTGAATCCTTTAAGTCATTTGACACCAAAGACCGGTGTCACGATACGCCTAAAACATACATTTTTGTAATCCGGACAGACATTGGACACTAACAAATATTCGTGCACATGTGCTCCTCTCTGTCCCTATGCAATGTGGTTTTCCATATACAGTTACCTCCCCTTAGCTTCTGTTTCGATAAAGCGGTAAAAAAAAGTTTTGGCATGACACTTTTGACGACTTGTAGCTCAACCGGTTAGAGCGATAGTAAAACAATCTGAAGTCCGGACTTCAAACCCCGGTCTAGCCCTACTTAATGTTTAGTCTCAAAACATTTTATCTTCATTATTTCTCACAAAGTGCTGTAAGGCAGGTTTTATATTCAGATTTTTTTTATCAAAGCTATAATCATGCCGGAAAAATGCCGCTTCCAACATTAAGTTAGTTTTTGACAGTCGTGCAGGGATCCTTAAGAAAAGAGACGGTCCCGGCCCGATCCTGACTTCCCTCCATATAGTGGTGTATATAGATCTTTCAGGTTCCATATAGTTTGTTTGTTTTTGTTTTTGTTTTGTTTTTGTTTTTTTTGGCAATTTCCTTTTGTATTGGCTTCAAGTGCCTTGTGGTCAGTGTCACTTCATGCCTCTATCTAGTCCTGACCGATATTGGGATTCACTTGCTTGTGTTGATAAAGCAAATGTCAATCTTATCTAGTTACTTTTTCATTCATGCACACTTATTGTCAGATATTCATGATGTGTAGTATAAAATCATTGCACTAAATTCAGATGAGTAATTTTTTGTTTACACGTATAAACAATTTCTGTTAGGAACCCCTGATGTCAGATATCCTCTTCCTCTCTCCGTGTTTTTCTTTTTTTACCGAGAAGTACTTAATAGAAGTAATATATCTGTAAAAATGTTATAATTATTTAACTATTCTGAATTGTCATTAATAACTGTTGTGTTTAGTCCATGTATTTACCATATTGAGTCTTGGTTTCACTGTTTACAGATTACGTGCTGTCGTTTGGGATCTATGAGAATGTCACCACGGGATATGTCGAGCCGGGCAATTTTGATGTCCCTTCGTTCTGTCCCCGGTCAGGACAGGTAGGCACATTTGTTCGTTGCTCCCATCCCTCTGTCCTAATTTTGTTCCTGGCTGTTTTACGCTCTCATCACCCCTCCCCGAACTTGATCCCCTTCATCCACATCCGCCATCATACATGCATCTTATTTCCTTTCTGTTTCAATAAAACCACTCTACAATCCCCTCCACACCATCCTTTCACATTCTACATTTCACACCACATACTGTAACTCATAGCATTTCCTTTCTTATCGCACATAAAACAGCCTCCTCGTGATACCATCTAATCCGCCTGTAACCGTACACCATCTCACACTCTTATTTACGTAATCGTTCTTTTCCTATTCTCCACCTCACGCTATAACCCTTGTCTCTACCATTTCCTTCTTTCTCCTTACATCATGTCCTTTCCGATTAACTTCACACCATCTCCAACCCTCCCTATACTATCCCTTCCCTCTTAGTCAATCATCTGCTTCCAAGAGCGTCCTACTTCCAACACCTCACTCCTCCCCACACGATCTGCGTTCATCCACTTAGACCACCACCTCCTCCTCCTCCACCACCTTCTTTACATCACCTCTTCTTCCCCATTATCATAATATATCACGTTCATTTTTCACATCGTCTCCTCCTCATCCTTACCCCCTATCCGACTGACTTTATAAATCATACCCTTCCATTTCCTTGCCCATTCCTTGTGCCTTCCGTTATATCACATCACGTTGACTCCTTTTAACAACCCCGTCTTTTCTCATGTCTCATTCACACCATGTTGTCTCCCTTCTTCATAAAATTACACCAGAAATGACCTGATGTACGTCTTTTATACATCTTTGAACCCCCCCTTGTCCAAATCATTTACCTCCGTACTATCCTTTGAATTCATCAAATTTCATCTCTCTCACACACTGATTTCAAGTAACACTGACTAATCTAGGAAAACTTTTAAAGCTGCATCTAAACGTTGCAAACATGAAAAAAAAAAATGAATGTTTCTTGAAATAGCAAAGTAGTTTTTTTAGAGCATATGGAATACAATTGAGTTGCTTGCATAATTTCTAATAGAAAGTTGCATTGTTTTAACGGTAATGTGAATAGTATGTATATATTGATATGGATTATAACATGTGTAAGACTTAAATTGTGAAAGCCTCTTTGACGAATAAAGAGATGAATCATGAATGAAAAACCAAACATAATATTTTAAATGATTTTGTTTATAACAGGTAATTATGGAGCATCCCAAACAGACACCAGCTTGGCCTTGGCACCTTCCCTCAACGTATCTCTAGAGTTCCATGAAAACAACGTCATATACAGCAGTCACGCGGAAATGACATCACTTATATGATGAATCTTAATTTGTTCATACTCAAACATAATAAAGAATAAGAAATATCGCAACCTTGGTTTTCATTCATTTTACAACAAATCACGAAGCCATCTTTATCTGTTCACTATACTGAAGTAGCCATAACAACGCATTTCTCTTACTCTCAGAGCTTAACGAAACGGCGGATATCAATATGGGTGGACCATTTTGTTCACGTGTATTCCATCAAAACGTAATAAGTACAATAAGTTGTGCAGAAGATATAGTCCAGTGGTAGATTCACGTCACTGGCCTTCTACGCAGACGGCCATGGTTCGATTCGTGGTGAACCAAGTTTCATTTGCATTTCTTGTCCACCTGAGAGTTGAGAAGAAATTGTTCCCGGAGTAGTTTTTTTTTTTATAAAAGCTCATAGTTGTTGGTCCAGTTTCTTTATACGAAAAGTTAAAAAAAAAGTAAAATATTATTTTATCGCCTTTGGGTTTAATTGTTTAACACTGGTTGGAGAAGGCACTATTTTATCTGTGACTGTATATTGTACCTGTGATTTTCTTCAGCCGAGAGCACTACGCATGGACTCATACAGTAAGACTGCCACCAATTCAAGAAATAGCGCGGTTTCATACAGGGACCATATTCATTAAACTGTCATTGTGCTCAAACAAGGAGTATGTGCCCAAACCTACTTTCTTGTAACTGGCTTAAAACTGCATGTATGGCTCACGGTTAAAAACTCAAATTTAAACATCGGAAACGGTCTTCGGCCGAAAGTCTCTCAAACATTCTTCCAGATCATTGACAGAATGTAAACTTTCATTAATTTATCACCGGAATACGAAATTTAGCTTCAACACACAATCTGAGTTTAAGCATGAGAATGGTTTCAAGAATATACAATACGGAGTTAAATACATCACACAACTTACCACGGAAAACTATATTTCCAATATAATCATGGTCATGTTGTACCTGTATATGTTGTACCTGTATATTACTACGCGCCAAGAGCTCCTACATGCACGTCACGCCTCCAATACCCTTGATTTATTATATTTTATTGTTAATAACTTCAAGGTTATATCAAAATATTTACAATGTAAAGTACATAAGAAGGGGTTATTATATGACCATTTCCATACATTAATACGTATCAATACAATCCGATATTTTTGGATGACATTGAAAATAATATTCCAATAACTCGTTCATTGGTACATGTGCGAGATCCTCTTTAAAACAATAATTTGCCCGGATTTTTAGACGAAGTTCAAGTCGAATTTTCTTAAGCAAAAGCAATGAGTCTCTATAGCGCCTTTTCTAGCGATTTTCTGTGAATGGAATGGAATGAATTTTGGTTACTTTATAATTGTTAGAATCCTTATATGGCGTGTAGTTTGAAAAAAACACTTGGTATTCTGAATTTCTGCAATAATATTTCACAGGGTGGTAATCCCTCCGTATTGCCTCGTTTAAGTATTTAGTGTTAAAACATTACGGCCTTTTCTATAGATAACGTACAGTATGAGTTTATCCTTCATTGCAAAAGGCACCTATCATAGTGCATGGTCTGCTATAGTGTGCAACTGTTGTCGTCCCGTGTCATGGATGCTCCAGATTTGCGAGTCCTTTTAAAATATCACGATATCATGTGTTTAATGTCTGATGGAGCATTGTCCTTTTCCTTTAAACCACTATTCAGGTTATTTTGACGAGGTCCATTTCTGCATATGCACCAACAAATAACGCCACAACCAACCACTTCGGAAGCTTCTGTGTAAATCGTCCAACTTTTGCATTTTTGGAGTACCAGATATGACTACACCGTTGATTTTTAAAGATCCCCGTACCGCTGCTATAAGCTGAAGCTACACATTAGAAACTGTTTTTCTGGCATGACTTTAGCTATAATACCTTACGGGACCTTTCTTAAAAAGTAAGAACGAAGAAATGAAGAAATTATGATTAACGATTAACGGTTATTTTTTTTAACGCTGGTTTTATTGAAACAGAAAGGAAATAAAATGCATGTAGGATGGCATATGTGGTGGATGGGGAAGGGGGTCAAGTTCAGGGAGGGATGGTGAGAGGTAAAACAGCCAGGAACAAAATTAGGACAGAGGGATGGGTGCAATGACTGTGTTCTGAATTTGAAAACAAAATCAGTGGGGCTAGACTGTGATTCGAACCCTGGACCTTAGATTTGTTATTTTACATGTACCTTTCTATCCGACTGAGCTACCTGGTCAACGTTAGTGTCTTGGGCTAACTATGATACATGTATCAAAATAAAATTACGAAAGGTTAATGTATATAAGAAAACCCACAGTGCAGTGGGACAAGGAACTTTAATAGTAAAAACAAAAACAAAAATTAGTTAAGAACATTTTTTCCGAATCTGTGTTAAATATATGCCTGTGTATAGTCACATCTTTCTAGTAATTCTAGGTGAGACACATAATGTTTTGTATTGTATACTCTAAAAAAATTAAAAAAATATTCAAACCTATTAAAAATGTTTGGATAATTTTAATGGATTCTTACACAGTAAAAGTTTTAAATAGTTTGGTATATATGAATTTGTATAGTGCATGATTTCCTCAATAATGTATGTAATCATCCGTACAGAAGGTACATTGGATCGTATACCGATAACATACTTTAAACAATACAAGACGAATTAATCTATAGGGAGCATAATCAAGATACGAGGTGGGGGTCAGTGAGATAGCCACTTATCACCCGTACACACTCTATCAGATGTAATAACGAGGCGATAACATGCATAACCTATATATTCAGTAACAGACACAGAACAACACTTAAAATGATCACTTGGACTGTTTTTACTTGTGTGGTTTTCTTATTTGCTGGAGTGACCAATGGTCAGACTCCGTGTTGCTCGCCTGACCAATGGACTGGACATCTCCTACAGAATACGGGCGAGTATAACAGGGTGGTAGACACAGCTTCCAAGGCTGACGTCAGCACGTTTATATATTACGACCACCCTGGCCGCAGACTGGCCACCTTGCACGATGTGTACAACCAGACAACCGATAACCGGACGTCAGTCCAACGTATCATCAATTACAGCAAAGTAAGGATGTTTACTTCCGGTAATCTCCTAAGAGAACTTCCGGTGTCTAGAAAGACGTAGAATCCACTGGTTAAAGATACCAAATAAGTTAAAAAGATAAAAATGTGAGAAAATGGCAAGGCATTCCAGAAAATTGGATCTATGATTATTTGTACATGTAATGATATACATGAAACAGCGATACAAGTTAACGCCAATGTTCCTGATGATAATTGTTATGGTATATGATATGGCTCTGAGAAATCGAAAGAAGGGAAAAAAATACTGTTTTAGTATATCTGAAGGGTTTTCTCTCAGAATCCCAAGACATTGTTTTTTATTTTCATTTTGATGAATATGGAACTTATCTATTTAAAAATTTGTTCTTGATTTCAAGGAGCTTTCAGTACAAACATGTTCAATTCATTATTGTCCTTGTCACTCTCAATTTATGATCATGACCTTGAACTTGTGTCATTTTAAAGTATTCATATACAGCATGCAAATACTTTTCATATAATTTAAAAAATATCAATAAATTAGATGCAATTTGTGAAAATTCTATTTTCTATTGCATTCAAATTAAAGAGACAAACTTGCACTGATATCATTACGTATCAAACAAGTTGAGGAACACTCTGTTCGGATTGATTTGGCTGCATTTTGAAATCAGATTTTTTTTATTTGTCATTGCAGGGTTTAGAATGGAGGATTGTGGGAAAAGTGTGTACACTTCACAAGGTCACGGAGGTCATGCCTTCTCCGTGTTTCCTGGGTGAGCATTTTTCTTCAAAATTTGAACTACTTTGGTATCCATGCTTTCTTGCACCAAAAGAAATCCAAACAATTGTATCTTAAAACTTGGTTGAGCTATGAAAAAAATATAACATCTTAATTCGAGAAGAGGAGAAATATGTATATGGCGTGTAAATGGACAAGTCAATCGAACGCACAGTATGTGTGACGTTATGACCACAGAGGCTGGACTTATCAGATATGGAATTTGATACAGTATAGGGGTAATAGTACATATAGAGATTACTACGACCCCTATAAAACTCATTTGTTAGATTCCCATGATGCCGTTCCTGTCAAATTTTAAATAAAACCTGAAGTAGAGTGTGATTGGTATATTTATATGGAAGCTTCACCGTTTATCCTTATCCGAACTAAATGACAGAACAGCGGTAATCACGTCCACTAATTAGTACATTTTGGTGACTGCGAACAGGATTTCGCATTGATGGAATCAACAAATATATTCTGACTTTGCACATTGAAGAAAAAATTAAACAATAAATAAGTAAATAAATCGCATGGTGCACTGTTATTAAAGATATAGCTTGAATTATTTAAACAGATGGCGCTTCTTCCTTCGGAAACCACATGATCTACAAGCTACCTGTCCAAGTATGGTACAAAGAGTTTAGTGACGGCGGGAACATCCGGTCCACTGTCGCCAAAGATAATTGTCTTCTGGTGACCGAAACCTCCCTAAGCATCCTCAGCGGTCCAGGTAGTTATAAAACCCAATGTCCAAAAGATGACAACATTTCAATATAAAAACGTTTGTATAAGTACATGTACAGTATATATACATATAAGACGTACTCTTGCAAATCCGTCTTAAAATCGCGATTTAAATATGTCAAACGTTACTCGAACCTTCATTACACGGCAGATAGCCATACATCTCCTAATGATATCACAAACTGTTTCATATACAGCTGTTCATTACTCTGCCCTTTAAACATATACTAATAGTTTAGATAAATTTCACACGAACTTCTATAATGTTTTCTTTTGTAGATTATATGCTGTCGTTCGGGGTCTACGAGAACATTACAGGAGGAAGCGTCCCGTCATCACCTTTCCAAATCCCTTCTTCATGTCCACAATCTGGCCCGGTATGTACTTTGTTTCCCTTTAGTTCACCTCAATATCAACTAGATTAGCCAATGAACAAGTGTTTTACATACGACTGTGATCTCTACCCAAAATTTGCCCGTTAAATAAAGTGCCTCTGATTGTGTTTGTGAATTGAATTAAATTTACATGTAAATAATGTATCAAAATTTGGAAACAAATATACTTTAAGTAGAATTTAAATTATGATGGTGGATATATAAAGGAGTAAAACAATCAGGAGAAGTTATCGTCCCGTTTCACCGGTTTGGCTTGGTCAAAAACTGAAGGCCGTGACATTCTCATATGCCATTAAACTGATCAGAAATGTCTGTTGAAGCCTTTGTGAGGTATATGTCTATAAATCTAGACAGTTTTCATTAAAGTGTTTAACTTCAAGTAAATGCTATTTAGTAAGCTTGGTGGTTAAATTGCGTGAATCCTGTAGGTTTCACCCCGGCAGGATTGGGATCGAATAAAGAATACACCTGCTGTTACCCACTGCATGTACCGTAGGAGGCGACCAATGTTTGAACCCCCTGCAGAATTGGGGATTTGCTTTGGTGTCTTCTATTTGGGGACACAAAAGCGACCAAAATAAATCTGCTGCACCCATTGCAATATTTGGGATCTTTATCTTTCTTTCTAACTACCTTTTATTTCCTAGCGCCTTGCTTGGCAACACCTCACTTTTGGCCTTAATGTAGAGCGTTCGCCCAGGTGAGGAAGGCAATAAGTTCTGGCCCCTGGCCGGGACATACCAAAGTCCTTAAAAAATGGTAGTTGTAATTCCCTGCTTAACGTTCAGCATTAAGTGGAATGGCAACAACTGATTCACCCGTTGTCAGTATACTGAGATCGGGCAAAATGCTGTGCTGCGTGCCTTCGGCATGGTAGTTTAGCGAGATAGCACTATACAGTCGGCATCACACCAACACACCCTGTCTCCTGCATACATACACGCAAGCACGCATACACTACGCACATGGAGGCACGTTCTTAAATGACCTTGGCTGTTAATAGGAGGTAAAACAAACTTAAACCAAACCAATCCTGTAGGTTTAACGTTGTTCTCATATCGTCTGTCACAACATGGCAATCGGAACTCCTCGGCAATTTCGAAAGACAAGATAATCCTCGGATGTCAATTGGAACTCATAGAGAAATTTTGGAAAACATGCATTTAAGATATATTTGTTTTCGTCAATTACAAATGTTCAAAATAAGAATGCCTGCATTAATATTGTGGATATAATTGTGATATGTTTGTCCTTAGATTCACGAAAACTATATCATAAAATTACTGCGGATTTTTTTTAACCTTTTTCAAGTTAAACATAATGAAAGTCCTATGTTTATGGAGCATACCTTTGATCATTGCAGGTATACCCGGGTTCAGCTACCCCCTACAGACCGTGGTACCTTCCCAACGATATCCTGGCAAGGAGATGACGTCTCATCGCGTGGTCATTCACTTTTTAACATGTTTATGTAAAATACAAAAATGTTTGCATTAAAGTATTAGCCAACAAGAGCTTGTCTGGTAGACACGTCAAGTATAGTATGAAATATAATGAACTACAGAAAAAGTTACTTCTTGAGATAAAATTGGGAGTTTGTCAAAAGTTAAATAACGCACGGCATTTGTAATAACAGATATGGAGTCAAATGTTATTTTTGCCAGTGAAATATTGAAACTCATTTATTCTGTAAAAGTTTCACTGGTGACAAAGATCACTTTCGCTGATTTGACCAATAAAAACACGGATTGCAAACTACAAATCAAAAAATGACGAAGCAGAAAACCTGACACACATGTATATACGAGTGGCCTAACTGTTCAAATGTTGGTTAGGTTCACGAAACGCAGGCCTCGAGAAAATCCTTCCGAGACTCCATCTGTTAACAATCACGGGGGAACTATAATCAGAGGGAGAGGGGGACGACACAACGTGTAATTACTCACTTAAATTTAACAGTAGCGATCACATGTACCTAATTTTGATACCGAGAAACACAAACTTTTTCGGAGTAATCTGATACGAGACCAGCGTATGACTGGGTTCATTTAAATCTATTCAGAAAGGAAGTTGCTTGAACGATAATTAAGCGTGAGTGTCATGAGTCCCAGTGACCTTGGCCATTGACATTCATTGTATGACATTGACTTTTGATAGAGTACATCTTCTAAAAAGGTCAAATGATTGACAATGGTGGAATCTTTCAGTATTGCTTTAAATACAAATCTTAAATTTAAGATTTGAGAATTTTCTGAGATCAATGCCGAGCTGTTGTGAATAGGAGAATGCCTAGAGGACGTTCAAGAAAACATAAGTTTCACCTTAGTTTTGACATGTTTTACCAATCAATGATACAAAGGGATTGGAAAACCAGCTTCTCTAACTTGTGAATTGGTGCATAGCTCTCTCCCAAATACAAAATTTAATAAATATAAAAAGCGTTTCTTATAACTTTGACCTTTATTCTATCAATTCTGTCTTCGATTAGATTCATCCTCTTGTCAAGGTCAATCATTGTACCAAGTTTGCGTGAAATTGGACGAACAGATGCTACATTTTTGCGCTGACAAGGTTGTAAATCGGACGGAAGAACGCTTTACTGCTTTGTGCAGATATCCCTGCAACGCCGGAGCCAGTATGAGAGTTAAAACTACGTTCGATCCATATACGTATATACATATGTTTAATATGCATATATACATTAAATGTCTCTCTTGTGTATGTGTACATGTACTTAACACAAACCATATTCCCAGAGTGTATCTGCACGAGTCTATGGCCTGGCCGGAAGCAACGCGTACATACAAACCGGAAGTACACACTAGGTTTCAGCGATTATATAGCAAAGGTTTCATGTTCACGGATTAAGCTAGTAGGACCTATGTACATATTTTATTATTTTGTTTATCAGTTTATTTCTACTTTATCTCACCAAATTATTTTAGATAGTTCAGACTGTAAGTTTTGTACAAGGTTATACACGGAGTGTATATGAGAAGACGTTTCTACAAACATCAACCAAAGTGTTAGACAAGACGCCCCCACGACACAAGCAAACTCAGAATGAAACTCGACTATATCAAACACAAGGTATTGCTCTCAGTGGAATTCCTTGCCGTCCTATTCATCATCCTTGGGATCTTCCTGAAAATCTGGTGGTCAAGCGGTCATGATGACACTCTCCAGAATTACGGTCTTTGGGATCGCGTCCTGTGTACGGATGGAGTTTGTCAACTGACCACCGGGGAAAGTTCTGGTAAGCTCTGTTTGCTTTTTTTGTTTTTGATTTTTCAGCGTCGCATATATCCGTTAAATGATGACAGGTGTCAAACTAGTGTTAATAGAGTGATGACAGTGTCAAGAGAGAGATGACTGGTGCCTTTGTCTAAAGAAAGACTACAGGTGTCAATAGAGAGATGACAGGTGTCTGGAGAGTGATGTTTGTTTGGTTGTTTGTGGCTTAACGTCCCTCAACAGGCAGGGTCAGGACGGTAGAGAATGGTGTCAAGATAGAGATGACATGTGTCTAAAGAGGGATGACTGGTGTTTATGGAGATGACTGGTGTGTAGATAGATGACAGGTGTCAAGAGAGAGATGACAGGTGTCAAGCAAGAGGTTACAGGTATAAGGAGAGAGATGACAGGTGTCTAGAGAGAGATGACTGGTGTGTAGAGAGATGACACGTTACAAGAGAGAAATGACAGGTGTCAAGCAAGAGGTGACAGATATAAAGAGAGAGATAACTGGTGTCTAAAGAGAGATGACTGGTGTGTAGAGAGATATGACAGGCGTCAAGTGAGTGATAACAAGTTGTCGTGAGAGTGATGACACGTTACAAGAGAGATATGACATGTGTCTAGAGAGATGACATGTGTCTAGAGAGATGACTGGTGTCTTGAGAAAGATTATTTGTGTCAAGAGAGATATGATTGGTGTCTAGAGAGATGACAGTTGTCTAGAAAGATGACAGGTGTAAAGAGAGAGATGACTTGTGTCTAGAGAGATGACAGGTGTCTAGAGAGATGGCTGGTGTCTAGAGAGATGGCTGGTGTCTTCAGAATGATGATTTTCGTAATGAGAGAGACGATTGGTGTCTAGAGAGTGATGACAGGTGTCTCGAGAGAGATGACAGGTGTCTAGGTATAGATGACAGGTGTCTAGGGAGAGATGACAGGTGTAAATAGAGAGATGACTGGTGTCTAGAGAGAGATGACTGGTGTCCATAGAGAGATGACAGGTGTCAATCAAGAGATGACAGGTGTCAATCAAGAGATGACAGTTGTCAATCTAGAGATGACAGGTATAAAGAGAGAGATGACCTGTGTCTATATAATGATGACAGGTTTAAAGATAGTGATGATATGCGCCTAGAGAGAATGGAGAATGGCGACAGATATCCATCAAGAAATTTTATGTGTATTAATAGTGATAAAATATGTATTAATAGAGAGGACACGTGTCTATGTAGTGATGACATGAAGTATCTCTTAATTGTGAGGGTACATGTATGCGTCTTTTTGGTGATGTCATATGTCTTGGACGATGAAAATTGTCTTAATATTGTTTGTTGCAAATAAACGTTTATATATTGATATGAGAGGTGTTACGAGACATATTAACGTAGAAGAGTAGAAAATAGAAAAACACTGCAACCATCTAAAGGACAGAAACGCAGCATCGGCTTTATTTTGGACAATTAAATATTTCTCTTAACAAAGAAAAAAACCTACAAGGGGCCTAAAGTAGCAGCCTTTTACACTCATTTTTGTCTCTCTCATCCTTAATTTCCGTTTTGATGGCGTCATCATCGTCACTTCCGGTTAGCGTATTGACCGGTTTGAGTATCATTCTGCTATGTTTTTGCTATTTAATTTTATCAAAATGACGTTTAAAACTGGTCATTGACCGGCTGCGATTCTCTATGCACACCGTCGTCACAGGACCTTAGCTTGTCGATAGAATCCCAAATCCAAACAGACAGACTTTGCAGATGACATGAGTATACTATGCGGAAGGTTATAACACTCAGGATTTTAAGGGTCGATGTGTACATTTAGCGGAGTAAACAAGCGTATTTGTGGCGTCATATACACATACATGTTGTATTGATTTTATTACATATCAACAATTTATATTAATGCGAGGCTGTTGTGAATAAAATGATGACGTCACATTATCAGAGCACATCATTCTATATAAGGCGCGCCACGGAGAAAGGTCCTTATGGCAAAAATATCGAATTTTATGCTTTGATGCATTTTTGTCTATGGATCAAGCAGTCTCTGATAGAATGTGGCATACTATATACCTTATGTATCATATGAATACCGTGTTATGCAGTGTCATAAAGCCATTACATAAACTATGTTTATGAAACGTGTTTACGGAAATGACGTCACAATCGAATAGGAAAAATCAATATGACGTCACATCATTGTGAAGCGGACGCAATTTTCATCGTTTCAGAGGCGGCTAAGTGCAAAATATTCGTTTCAGATCACAATTATACAGTTTATTTTGTATTATATGTTAAAACAAATCTGTCATTCGTTTCCCTTCATATAAGATTTATGATACTCGTTTTGGATTTTTCATATTTGCTCGCCAGAGGCTCGCAAACATGAAAAATCCTAAACGTGTATCATAAATTTAATATGAAGAGAAACTTATGACAGATTCTCTATATACATTTTTGTGTATATGTGTGTGTAAGATTTACGTCTGTCATAAACGGAGATGTTATTTTTAAATGGTGTCTTGCACACAAGCATGTGACACAAGCTTCTTTATCAAGTAAAGCGTCTGTGTTTGTAATAAAAGTTTCTTAATTAAACTTTGCCCTTCAAAATATACAACTGTTATCAATTATAAATTCATATCTAAATAGATAGTATGTACATTTGTCGGAATAATGTACCATTGATGTTTTGGTTATAACGCGTCCATTTTTCAAATGGAATTTTGCAAGTTACTTGCCTACAGACATTGTTCAGGAAATAAAAATGGTCATTGCAAAAACAATCGAACGTACAAAATGGCGCTGAGTATGTGATAAAAAACTGCGCCATATTTTGTTTATTGTACAAGCTAACTGGATAGGATGCTAAAACAATAGTAATGGACGTTTTATTTTATCTTTTCCAGGATTCCTGATGTTTATTCGCTTTGCTGGAGTTTTCGGTATTATCCTGACAATATGTGCCTTACTGTCTACTGTTGTTTATCTATGGAAACGAAACACCTTCTTCAACTACGTGACTGGCGTGTTCTCTATTTTCAATGGTAAGCGTAATTTAACGGGTACAGACACCACACACGTACTGTGTTATATGTCGAGGGTACGAGCAACCCTCGTGGGTGTCGTAAAGGGTACAAACCAATGACGTCATAAGTGTTATGTTATATGTCGAGGGTAAGCAATGCACGTGAGTTTTGTCACGGATATAATCAAATGACGTCATATTATTTGCTTTATATATCACGGGTACGAGCATATTTGGAAGAGTTGTCACGGGTGCAAACACATAATGTTATAAGTGCTGTGAAAATATAAAATGTATATCAGGGTACAAATATATTGTAAACGACGTCATACGATTTGTCTATAATAACGGATAAAAACTAATGACGTCATAAGATGTGTTTTTCATCACATATTCAAACCAGTAACGTCATAAATCAACCCGCGTGATTTAACAACATGTTGTGTATGACATAACGTTGATAAAAAGTAACTTAATTTAACGTCATCATCAGGTGTTTTTTTTATATGTAATGTTATAAGTTGTATTACAAGTATGTATGTAATTTCTTCATTTGTCTGTTTTGAAGGGTGCGTCACGTTTTTGGTGATGGTGGTACTAATGGGAGAGTACCTCAGTATCTCCTGGGCCTGGACCAGAGCACGGGAGTTAGTTCAGACCCCAGATAATGAAATTCTCTGCTACAACGCAGTGGTCATCTTCTTTTTCGTCTTCTCGGGTATCGCAAGCATGGTCAGCGCCCTCTTCACACTAATGAAGCTTGACAATGCACCGGAACACAAGGGCAGTAACTCTATGAAGAAGGTTAAGGAAGATATAGCTCTCGTGTCTATGGATGTACGGCGTTAGTACAGCATTTTTTTATCTGTGTAGTTTTTACTCATCATAACGTTGAACATGCTCTTAAACTGGTAGAACTGTTATAAAAAATGATACATTATTTGATTCTACAGAGCATCCTGAAGCAAATTTTCATGCAAATAAAACTCACACTTTTTATATATATCAGAAAGTTATGAATTGTATTCTGCGGTTAAAAACGTTTTTCTGACAGTTTACTCACCGTATGGGTCAGCTGGATAGCAGTGATACTAGAGGGCTATTGATTGATTGATTACCAAAACTCGACTGTATATAAGATTTAAATTATGTATGCCTAAATATCCCACATCTTGATTCTTACTCCTATTTGGATGAGAAGTACATGTTTGGATTAAAGTAATTGTAATAAATATCAAGCTCATGTAAATAAAACAGTTTTTATGTTTATTTTTCCCGAACCTTAAACTAATGCCGTGCGGCCGAAACATATTTGCGCTGATGGTCAAGTTCTATATTTAGCTTTTGTTGTCCAGCAGTACAGTGAGGTCATACAGTGTATAAGGTAGATCAAAGTGAAAATGTCAATAACATCGAACACAGCGCATGATTCTAGGTCAATATTCTGCATTAACAAATTATCTAAAACGGAATACATAAAAGAAAGACCGCATTTAGTGATTAGTTTGTTTGTATTAGACGTCCTACTCACACCTAAGGTCATTTAAGGACGTGCTACGTTTTGGTGGTGGTCGAAATCCGGAATGCACGGAGGAAAACCTCCGACCAGTACCTGGCGACTGCTCCACGTAGGCTTCGAACCCGCGACCCAGTGATGGAGGATTAGGTGATCGAAGACGGCCAGCGCCTTAACCATTCAGCCACCACGGCCCCCAACCATTCAGCCACCACGGCCCCAACCATTCAGCCACCACGGTCCCCAACCATTCAGCCACCACGGCCCCCAACCATTCAGCCACCACGACCCCCAACCATTCAGCCACCACGACCCCCAACCATTCAGTCACCACGACCCCCAACCATTCAGCCACCACGACCCCCAACCATTCAGCCACCACGACCCCCAACCATTCAGCCACCACGACCCCCAACCATTCAGCCACCACGACCCCCAACCATTCAGCCACCACGACCCCCAACCATTCAGCCACCACGACCCCCAACCATTCAGCCACCACGACCCCCAACCATTCAGCCACCACGACCCCCAACCATTCAGCCACCACGACCCCCAACCATTCAGCCACCACGACCCCCAACCATTCAGCCACCACGACCCCCAACCATTCAGCCACCACGACCCCCAACCATTCAGCCACCACGACCCCCAACCATTCAGCCACCACGACCCCCAACCATTCAGNTCGGCCACCACGGCCCCCAACCATTCGGCCACCACGGCCCCCAACTATTCGGCCACCACGGACCCCAACCATTCAGCCACCACGGCCCCCAACCATTCAGCCACCACGGCCCCCTTAATTTAGCGTCTTCTGTATCAATATCAGGACGTCTAAACGTACAAGGCCCGTATTCATGAAACCGTTCTCATGCTCAAGCAAGGATTTTGCTTTCAAGCCTAATTTCTCGTTCCGGTTATTTAATAAAATCTTATTTTGTCAATGATTTGAAAAACTTTGAAGAAACTGTTTTCAATCTTGGCATTTGACTTTTTGATCGTTTAAAATGATTCAAGTGAGCATGAGAACAATTTCATGAATACAGGCCCTGTTCAAGCAAAATATACTGGTTAAATGTTTACTTGCGTTTATGCTCTTCGATAGAAGCACACTATGCCACAAATATTACTACTGCGTTGCAAACGCCAATATTTCAACAGAGAAAACAATCTTTTGAAAGCCAATGAATCGCAGACACCTCTTAAAGTATTTAGATCAGGACATAACAATGACCCTATCTTTCTTAGATAGAAGCCTTGTTATTCGTTTGTTTGGAGTTTAACGTCCCCGCAACAGATAAGTTCGCATGAAGACGGAAACAACGCAGAAAAGAAAAGACAATAATATGAGTATAAAGAAACAGTAGGGAAAAAAGGATAAAAAGGTCGAGATCAATTCTGCTTTCTTCGATGTCTTTTTAAAAAAAAGACACAAAAGAAAAACTTATAGAAGTATGCAGTAGGTTACACGGGTCTTTTCTTTCCCCGAACCTGAAGGGGTAGATTTTTCTTCAGTAGTGGGCTTGTTATAATAAAAGTTAAAGGTATGGAATGGTACGCTGCAACATATTACCGGTTGTCTGTAACTTGCTTTTCTCTCACGCTGTAGGTTTCCTATCTCCCGACTCATTTAATAACCCGCTAGGAGTTGGTAAACATGTTTGTTAACCCCACAAGTAGCAATGCAATGCTTTGCGATGTCATCTTCCACTGTGACGTCATAGTTTGATTCACATTCACAAAGGAAATATATGGTTTTCTAGTTATAATATATGAACGATGTGGGAGAAACAGGTCCCCAAACTCGTAATGGTTGGTTATCATGTTCATTGTAAAAGACACTCGGTAAACCTCCTGTACAATTTGAAAATATACTAGCTCGAGTTAGATAAACACGATAACCAACCATCACTCGTTGGGGAACCTCTATATAACACAATAAAATTAGTATGATATTAATTGTTATGAACAGTAGCCAAGCTTCTCGTAAAACTATGTGATACACAGTCTGTATCATACTGACATACTACCTCATTCGTTACGTTCACTTGTTTCGCGCCTGAATCAATGGGTATTGCGAAATTCAAGGCCGTGGTGTAATGTCAATTTATACTCTTACCGATCACATATCGATTGTGATAACACAGACCTTTATTTCGGCAAATGTTGACGCCGTAGTGATGGACTGATGATCTAATATAATCGAAAATCGATCGGTTCGCCCTTTTCAAGTCCGATGATCGATTACAAATTCCATCATCGATATAATCGGTTTCTAACAGAACTAAAATTGACAAAAAAAATATTTTTTACTAATGTAGAAAAAATTAAACAAAATGCAAAACGATTGCTTGAAATCCACACATTTTTAAAGAACGACACATAAGATATAGTTAACAACTTCGTCTATTGATTTGAAAATAGCGTTCTCACTTTATTTGGGTATTAAGGTCCATAAAATCATAAACTGATTATGCTAACGATCACCCACCGGTTTACTACTTAAAGTTGACGGTATCAACAGGGCTGTCACATCGGAAAACTGAATTCACAAGATAGTAGTGGTGAAATTAAGATGAAATTTCATAATCGATGGTTGGTTGAACGAAAATCTGAACTCTCTGTGATCCGTTTAATATATGATTAAGTTTGTTTAAATTCTGATAACAGTATCTTTTTAAATTTAGCATTTTTCCCCCTGTGACAATAAAGCCGGATACGAATCACAATACATTCCTCCTATATGCAATATATCGTGATACTCTCGATCCAGGCGTATTGCGACACATCGGTTACCCCAGTATCAAACTACATATGTACGTACGTCCACATTCTCTTCCATTCCCCTGGGAGGTTCTGCGTCATTGCTCCCAAACCCATAATTTATACAATTTACCCACACTGACCACTTACACCCGCCATAAACTTGAGACGTAACGTTGATAGGTACACGTGATATTATAAATCTGACACTCAACACAAGACGGCGCTCTTTGATGTTGTAAGACAACATGACAGCTCGCCCTTCACCCTGTGATATGTGGACAATATTTTCAACACGTTTTACGGATCTAGAGTAATATATCATTTAAAATTTTCTATTTGACTTTTGAAGTTTGTTTTCTTCAAGTCTGTTGAAGAGATTAGGGAGACAAACAGACTGTTTATGACGCAAATATACCATAACGTATTATCGGCCGCATATAAAACTCTTGAATGTTCTCGACCAGCAATAACTGGATTGGGTTCGGACGATCAGCTGCAGGAACGTGAATATAACTAATGAAAACGTTGTGCAACAGCCACAGCTAAGAATGGATGTATGTCAGATTATATCAAACTAGTCTAATCTTTATGACAGAATACACGTCATCGTTACGCATCAGAAATATTACAGGAAACTCCGTATTACTCTGTGATATAGATTTAAACCTCTCATTAACTATATACTACAAGTGTGTGAGTGTTAAGTAGGTAGGTAATACATTTACATGTACATATGATATCAGTACTGACGTCATCAGTTTATGTGATCATGCTGTGTGGTAATACGGACAACGCGGTGTTATTTTCATCGTAGACATATTATAGCATCGTAATCTGGGAAGAAATACAGAATCTGTGGCGTCATCAAAGTTACGTGCATGACAACTTAAAGACAATATTCTTTTTCTTGATAATTATCTTCCAACATCATTCCAAAGTACCAATGAAGATCTCGTCATAATCTCATTTTATCATAAGTAACTTTTCTGGAACTGATTACTTATTCTTTTCGATTGCCGTTACATGTGCACATAACGTCATCTTGTTTTTTTGCCGTAAGAATTGTCAGTTTGGTTGGCGAATGATTTTTAAAAAAAATACCCCGTCCTAGCAAATATTGAGAGGAATTGGCTATCCTTGGCTATCAGTATCGACCGACGTTGCCATAAACCTTAGCGGGATTGACGTAATGACCGAGACGGCAGAATCCAAGAGCCTCTCTTTGAAGATGTCTCACCGTGTGAGAATAGTAGATGTGATACTCCTCTTGCTTGGCGTGGTGGGAACTTGTCTCCACGTGCTTGGGCTTGTGTTTCCTGCATGGTGGTACATCGACGACCCGAACAACGTGGGAACCGATGACGTCACGTACTTTGGAATCTGGGCAACAGTGACGTGCCAAAACAGCACCTGCATAACAACAAGTTCGGATAGATCTGGCAGTAGAGGTACGTATTGGAGTCTTACATATAAAGTAAGAGGAATAAATGCACTCAAATTAAAGCTTCGATTATTTGTACTATTTCAGTGATGGAAGGTAATATATTTTTCTACAAAATAAAATCAGACATCGTATGCTGATGTCACAAATGCTATTGATTAAACGACACCAAAGGACCAATCAACAAGTTTTGACAAATTATAACAAATATAACGTATTTATACATGTATTTCTTGATTCTCCGGGTGACTGGAACATTTTGGAGTCGGAGGAATAGGGTTAAGTGTGGGAAAGGAAATATAGAATGAAAGATCACTTACTTTATGTTGTGATCTAGCATGTAAGTACTTCATTCCAAATGTTCTATCAGACGTTGTATTCCCGGACATGTCATTTACATTTAACAGCTAGTAATTGTTGAAGTTTGGAGTTTTCTTCTTAAAAAACAATCTTATCAAAATTGTATCTTCATATCGTTCCCGTTTACTGATATGTCGCGTAGATCAGTAAACGGGGGCGATGTGAAGATATGATTTGAATTAGATTGGTTGCATAAGCAATAATATGGGTTTTCATTTACTGAGGAATACAGCCATAGAAAATAGTTCTTAAATCTTGATTTTTTGTTGTTGTTTTTTGTCTCAAAAATTGACTAAAATAATCAATAGAACAACGATGGAAGCACCTGTTTTCAAGAATTGGACCGACGACGCAAAATGCAAAAAAATAAATAATACATTAACAACCAGAAGAATATATGAATGAATATGGTCACCGTATGATGACTTTTAATATAGTTTACAAATCATAATACACAAACACGACAATAGCAAATTTATGACAAACACAGCATGGCATTATCTATATTTACAGTAAAACAGGAGGCCCAGATTAGAACATAGAACCTACATCAATCCGCCTACAGACAAAAAACCCAGTTTCAGCTGAATTCTAACGTTCAATTTATAAACAAACGTTTAGGTATAATTTACAACTCCTACAAAGCACGAACGAACGAACAGACGTAAGGTATGGCAAAAAACATGTACATTGTACCACTTGCCAATAACAGGCCTACTTACTGCAGTAAAGACATAGTGTCCCTCAGTTAAGTTAAGTTTTATACAGCTAATACAATACAGTTCTTAATTTTGATTACCTCAAGTTAAGTTAGAATAGCCAAATATTAATAGGATTGCCAAATCTCAATGTTCAAGCATCAAGTGACCATTTCATCTTTTTTCTCTTGTATTATTGTATTTATTCGTAAGAAAAAAAAATATAATGAAGTTTGTATTCCAAAATAACAACCCTAACAAAAGGGTTCAGCATCAGATGTTTGGCATAGAGAGCTAGACGCTTCAAAAGATCTACAGAAGAGCCGTAAACGGCTTATTGAAATTGAACCTTTCAGCTATCAAGATTTCTATAAAAAGGTCAACGTTATTAAAAATATTTTTGTATCCAGCAACATACTTATTCATTCAAAAAATATTATTAATCAAATACATATCATTTTCTTTGCAAAACATTATCTTTATTAACAAGTATTAAAATAGCATGAATACAATTTTCGTCTCAGTAGTGTATTTGATTTGCCATTATCAAGAACTATATATAATACTAGCTTCCCCTTGAAAGTTATGTATTAATGTAACACTAAAACTTGTTTGTTTCCCACAATAACACAATAACGTCAATTGAAACTTAAAACTAATTTTCTGATATTTAACTGATATTGATGTTCCCTATGTACTTTTGATATTTTTTTTAAATATCATGGTGGCAGAAAGGTTCATTTAATCCTATGTCAATTAAGAAATTATACCAGTTATTCAAACTCTGATCTATTTATTATGACACGTTCTTGTTACACAACCAAAAAGAGTTTCTATGACGTTTAAACAAAGTGAAGCTGAATCGAGTCATTTCGGTACTGACATACCAACTATTGTACATACGCCTACAGCGTAGCCGAATCGACATCGATTATGTGGACAACTCGTACACATTTTACATCTGTGTGTGTATACGCTTCACTGGTCATTTGTCTGATGGAGGTGACAGTGTACAAACCGTACTAGTCATCGAAACGTCACATAGAAACGCTTATTGGTTGTGTAAAAAGAACTTGTCAAAACCAATACTTACAAACCTGCAGGAAATGTTTCGAAATATCTGGTCTATTGACTTCCCCTTAAACGATATACATAGATTGTGATTTCTACTTACTCTACTGTTCTCTCTATTTCATCAAAAACTACCAGTATTTCTCGTTAAATAAATTTCAGTTCTGAGTGATGCTATTCCGTTGAATGTTCAAACAATTCTGTATGGATGGCAAATGTTTGATGTACATTGTAAAACTGAATAGATTCACAATGGATGCGAAATGATTCTATTAGATTTTTTTATTTGTATTATTGATGATATGGGTGATTTTACGGTGGCAACAAAATTGAAAATTGTACGCAGTTTGCATACAAAATAAAGAATCGTCATCTTCTCATACACTCATACAAGTTCGCCGTAAACACGGCTGACTTTCAGCCTTTGTCTCTAATTGCACTTTAAAAGTATTTCATTTATAAATTGTTAAGTTAATCCATTATTCAATTGATTAAGAGTAATAAAAGCGCCCTGGAGTAATTTCATAAATATTAACGAGCATGATATTGAAGCTGTACATCATACTAATTCAGATATTAATTTACCATTGACAGTTTACGAAAGTACATGTCATTTAGGGCGAAGAACACTAATATTAGTCGTTCACAGAAAGGAATATATAAACATTAATCTACCAGGTATAAACTTTTAAAGATGGAAAAGCATATATTTTCTTCAGTTTAAATAAAATAATCACTGAAAATGCATCAAACAAATGGTCTTCGTTAAGTTAAAGAGTTGTTCTCGCATTGGTTTCAAATCAATCATGAAATGTTTAACTGTGAATGGTTGGTCACTGACGGGGTCTTCCCCGACCACCAACTCGGCTTAAAATCACATGTTTACATAGGTGGTCAGTTGATGATAGTGAGTTATAGTCTATAGCAGAAATGGTGTACAGGTACATTGCACAGGTAAATCAACTTCTAATCAGATAATCAATAACTGCTAATAATTGTAAAATATTGATCAATATTTAGAACAGTTTTCAGACATAAAAAGGGTCTGTAGCCAAGGGGATCCGGTATCATCTTACTTATTTCTTTTGGTAGTTGAAATATTAGCTATCATGGTAAAAAAACAATAAAAACTCTAGGGCATAAACATAAATAACAAAGAACACAGGCTCTCACGGAGAATAACTTATCATTGCAAAAATGAATCACCTGTTTATATCTCTCCCTACTCAAAGTAAAGACATAATTCAATCATTGAACAAAAAAAATAAACCGCTCAACAATTGTTCAAGACCATAGTGAGGGTGAACTCAAAATTATTGATTTGGAAAACTTTATATATGGACTTAAAACTAGCATTCAATCGGTCACTTTCAGGCTTCTTTCAAGAATACTTCCACTTAATCATTATTTAAAAATAATTGGAATCAAACAATGTGATTTATGTAATGTATGCCAAGAAAGCAAACAAACTATAGAACATCATTTTTAACAGTGTCAAATAACAAATAACTTCTGGCAAGACATACGTAGATGGATATACTTAAAAACTGACCAAACGTTCGAAATAAAGGAAAATATTATACTTTTTGGCAAAACTTCTGAATTCCAAAAATCAATTCCAACTAAAATCATCATGATTCATGCAAAAATCTTCATCTACTTTAGCTCCAGAAAGGTTTACTGTGTATATTCATGTTTAATAATGGCTATCTTTTATTGCTGTATTAAATGTGTATTACTGTTATATGTAGGAATAGAAACAGTATTTTATTGCTGACATTAGTATCAATGTGGCTTAAATTAAGGAATTTTGTTTTTCATATAATGTAATGTTATTTTTCTTTTTCTTATAATGTAAAAATTATTATTTAATGATTATTTTCTATTACTTAGTTCTGTGTTAAATGTGTATTACAGTTATATGTAGGAAATAAAAACTTTTTATCCATTTTATTATTTTTATTATTGACTTTAGTATCATATCTACAAAATGAGTTGACATTCTTAGTTGAAACAGGCTATAACTACACTTCAAAGGATTTCCTATATAAACACCTTCCTTTCAATTCTCCAGAGTTGGTGTTCGGGGAATGAGCCGTCACTGACATGACAATATGACTGATATTCATCTATTAAAAAGAAAGCATTCGTGATGTAGTTATAGGTTTTGTGTAGTTACGTGAGAACGACTTCCTCTCTGTCACTTCTACTTGTGCATGCATTCACATTTAATTGAATTGAAAATAACTTATTGTTAATTTCTTTGGCCTATTTATGTTGCAAACAATTTTAACAAAATGTGCAATGGAACGATTTATAATCGGGGTATGGTAGTTGTGTGTGTTTGGTTGTAACAAGGTGCTGCCTTAGCATCCCTTTCATCAGGTGACAGAACATTGTATTCCATTACATATGTTAATATACAATATACTATAGCTATCATACATTATTTACGAAATATTGTAGGGACAGGTAAAACTGTATTGTACTAGGAACTAATTATGCGTGTTTAAATGAAATTGATATAATTAAGATATAAGGAAGGATAATTACTCTGGTAAATGATAATAACTTAAGTTGAACTTTTACCCTATGACAGATTAACAAGCGTCCGGTTTTTTTGTTACAGCTTGGTTACAAGGCGTGGCGGTGGTAGAGACCTTTGCGGCCATCTTACTTATGTTTAACGTTGCCACACAGCTTGTGCTGGTCCGCCAGTGTAAGACTGTGTCCATTCTCAGGCGGCTGGTGGTTATTCTCACGTCTGGAGCAGGTGAGTTACCTTGTAACCATTATTTTGACAACGTATGTTTGGCAAATACTGGGGCGTTCAGGTAAGGTCAAGGTTATGTAAGGGCTGATTTCTGTGTCAGATAAAGGTCACGGTCGATGGGGATAGTCTTTTGTAAAACAATGAATGGAATCAAGGTGTATGGATAATTCAGTGTCAGTTTCAAACTTATAAATAGCTCAGTAACAGGTAAAAGTTTAAGATGAGGTCAAGGTCAGTACGACAAAAATGGTTAACAACACAACTATTCATATGAAACTTCATTGTCCTGCATGCTTATGATTATTACTTTATACATTTTTAAACTACTTCAATGTGCAAACTTGAATCGACTCAAGATGATTTTGATATGACCAACTGGTATGGTTAAAAGTAATAACAGAAGATACATGGGCTGGTCACAATGCGTATGAATACATAAACGAAGGAGAATCACTGTTGATGGCTATCTATTAGAGCTATTTAATATCGTAACCAGTATTAATGAAAATTGTTTCGCCGCAAACAGTATGGAATTATTCAAAGGGCGCTGATCAAGGAATGATATCAATTTGCGCACTTATTTAATTACATTCTTCCAATTCAAGTTTGTCATCTTCAAATATGAAGATTATTTAGAAGTATATTTACAATATAATGGGTTAAAGTTAAATATATACATTGTATAAATACATGGTATTTGTTGTTTTGTACCAATAGGTTGTGTCATTATCATTGGTATCCTGCTGTTCGTGAAAAAGAAAGCCGGATTAACTCCCCTTGAGGCTCTTGAGACACGTGACGGCGCGACAGGGTGGCCGCTGATTCTGTCATCAGCTGCTGCCGCCGTGTCACTCATAATCGCCATGGTGATGGGGATCGGTCAGCTGACCATGTTTACAGAGAAAACGGACTATGACCACGAAGACAAATCAGTCGCCTACTGGCAACAAAAAGCGCAGCAACTAGACGACCTAAGTGACCTGGGGGCTCGGGTCAACGTCTCTGCGACATTCATGTAACATAATTGACACCGATGAATAAGTTTATTAAAACTGAATAGGTTAATTATCTAAACATAATAAAAATATTTCATTTCTTTTCAATGGTATAACAATTTTATCTTTCCACGGGATTTCTTCTTAATTGATAGGTATGCATGTATTTGTTATCTACATTTTATAACGGGCATATATACAAGTTTCACAGTCGGCATAATGAGTGTCAAATATTGAGATAGTTTAAGGTATATTCTGCTTATGACATCAAAATAAAATAAAGTGCTAGTAGTCAAGAAGACGATTCGCTGAGAAAATCTGTGTATACGGCATCGTTGTAGTAAGATGTGAAGCCAGCACTTTCTACTAGGGAACTGGAGCTGAACTGTTATGAGAATAAGATAAATGGGTGATATTTCTCCAACAATAAAAAATGTTGTGACTAATCCTAGTCTTGAAGAATTTGCACCCTAAGGGTTTTAAATAGCAATGGTAATGAGTTAAGGAAGAGACGGACAGGTATAACATGACCAAACACTCAATACACTGTAATGATAGATAAATTGGTCGGACAATCCTTTTAACATGAGGTCAAAAACAAAGGTCAAATAAATATTGTTTTCAATAATTATTGTTGATTGAAATAAGATATATATCCTTTCCAAGTCTTATGTCTGATTATTGTGAAAGATGAGACTATATTGAACAAAGATTATTAACCGATGAAATGATGATTTCTCTTTGAGGTCAAATGCCAACTTCTTGAATAAACCTAAAGAAGGTTACCTGAAAGGATAAAATAATATTACAAAAACATGGCTGCTGCAAAACCAATGCAAATTTAAGAATCAATCGCATCTTTAGTTAAAAGAGTAAAAACAAGTGAAAAATTTGGAATTTTTTCATGAAATCTGCATAAAAAGGTGTATGACAGGGTGTCGTTCTATTCCCTCTAACTTTTTGTTTTCCCTAGAAACAAATCTTTATTTTTTTATGATTTGTAGCTTGGATATAAGTTATTTTATATACCAATTTCAAAAAGAATTCATTGACAAAAAAATAATTCTATTCGACTTTACAATCATTTTTTTTGCGAATTTTTACCAAAGGGTAGCCATTTTGAAAAAAAAAAGATTTTTGTTTTAAAATATTATGTCAAAAATAGACATTTATCATATTGTTCTCAGATAAATTCAAAAAAGATATATATGCATTTTTTGGCGGGAACCTTAATGACTTAAAAAGGGCAAAAAAATGACATTTTTCAGACTTCAAAGGGGGATAATTCTTTCAAAGAATATTTTAAAAAAATAGCCTGGAAACCTATTCTCAAATTTTGATATTTTGTTAGGTACACCCCAAAGAACAATATATGCGAAATTAAAAAAAAAAAATCATTGACTGGATTTGTTTTGCCTCTAGTGTCCTTCCTTGCCTTCAAGGAGGCAGTGAGTGGTGATTTTAGCCACCGAAACTTTGACGATATAGCAATGTAAAAACATATACGGAGCTATACAGGAACCTGTCCTAATTCACTCCACACATCGACAGATCTGATACCAGTTTTGAGGCATGACACAGAATTGCTCTATGATGACTTATATAATGTAGAAGTTTACACTAGGAAAGGTCTAAATTCAAACTGTATATACACGTGAAACTCATGCTTCTGGGACAGACTTCAAATCCCAGTACCAAACACCATATTGAAAAGAGACGGATCACTTAACTATACAGGGAAAAACAACCTGTATTCTGCAATACATAACAGGCAGTTCCTTGATATTGGAGGAACTGATTTTCACTCATCCACGTTAGCTCTCTATCTGTGTTAAGTGAATAGTTTATACCGCACTTTTTTGCTACATGGGGTTGGAAGTAATTTTATTGATAGGGACCCAAGCCATAAATATATTGTACTATATTTTCGTACATTCAGCCAGATAGTGAAAGATCATATAAAAGAAATGCAGAAAGACTTTGACAGAACATTTAGTTCAGGGGTAAGGATTAAGAAGATAAAGATGTTCCGTTAGGGTAGATACAATGTAATATATACAGGTTGTAGAATTTTTGGAAACTAAAGCTTAAAGGTTTGGTAAGATTAGACTAATCAGACTAATGTCAACCTTTTACAACAGTTCTTAATGTTTTCATGACATTTTTCAATGCCTGTTATTATTATTCATTCATTTTTTATGCTATGCATATGTAGGTTCTATCAAGTGTTTTTGTTATTCTGTGTTGAGCTAGTAATTCGCTTTGGAAATTGAATAAGACACAACGGAAATAACTTCAATTTAATATAATAATTTAAACTTGGAAAAAAATGTACATGTATATATGGTTTTGTGGATAGAAATGTTAAATGAGTATTTGCTGAAATACCGAACTATTTAAAAGGATACTTCCTTCTTAACAAATTCTAGTAACACAAGTATGTTCACTATGACATGTTAACTTTCTATTGTCAAACGGAGAACAATAAATTATGTAACACTGAAAATATCATTTTTTTTTTTATAAATATTATTGACAAGTCTGTGGTTGTTGTTTTTTTTATTTATTTTTCATTAAAACCGAGCCATTTATCTCATTCAAAAGATATTCGTATTACCAAATGTTTTGTGGAACTAGAGTGAGGTTTTACAAAACATCGATCAATATACATGTAACAGCAACTAGATCTTGGAATCAGTGTTATACGGTTTAAACATACAGTTACGCTTGTTTTCAGCTTTGTGATTTTCTCGAAGCTCCTATCAACCAATCAACATCTGATGGTCTGTGTTCATCCGTGGTCTATGGTCCTTGGTCATCCGTGGTCAGTGGTCCGTGATCATCCGTGGTCTATGGTCCGTGATCATCCGTGGTCTATGGTCCGTGACCATCCGTGGTCTATGGTCCGTTCTTAAACAATATTTGTTGGCGCTATTTTTTTTAAGAAAGTGCCTAAAGGATTTTTCCTGTGTATCGCACGTGGGTTAAGCATGCTCCGTAATATGAGAAAACAAAGACGGTCGACGTGTGGCCATCTTGAATTATGAGAGTTAACGATTGTTATCGCTATTTATCACATTAAATAAATATCTGTTTTCCTTCAAATCTTATATTTAAATAGAAATAAAGTACATGATGTTACCATGCATCTGGCATGTATGAAATGCCTTTTAGGTAACACAATCCAAATTTATCTCTACAAATTAATTATATATATATTGATCAACATTGCCAAAAGTCAGGATAACAAAATGTTGTTTTTCAGATAAAATACGAACGTTATTGGAGAAACAGGTCCCCAAACTCGTGATGATTAGTTACCATGTTTATCTAACTCTAGTTTTCGAATTGTTAAAGACACCCAGTAAACCTCGTGTCTTAATACAACTTGAAGATTAACTAACACGAGTTAGATAACATGATAACTATCTATCAATCGTCTGGTAACCTCTACATAACCAGTCTGAAACAATAAACAAATGTTCATAAACTGTCTGTGAAAGCAACTTAGATTGTAATGTCTTGTAAATTACCTGCTTAATTTATATTAAACATTCGTGTTTTTTGTGTTGAGGATACTAAACATTTAATGCATGTAAATTCAGTTTTAAAATGAGTTACAAGATATGTTTACAAGTAAATGTTAGAATTCAGGGGCTGGTAACTAAAGCGATGTCGATGTTGTAAGTATAATTATACAATATTACCAATTACTGTTTTAAATATTGAAAGGCATTAAGGGAAGACAATCAAAATGCAAACATGAACAAAATGAATTTAGCGACATCATTTTAAACAACATTTAAAGAAGTAATCAGAAACAATGTTCAGGATACCACAAGGTAAACTTTTTGTGTGTTCCATGAATTACCTCCCTTCATACGTTATTGTGGAACTTGTAACACAACAGACTTAAGCTTCGCATCATAACATGTATTTATATTCTCCCTCATACCAATCGTCCGCATATAAAAAAAAAAAAAAAATCAATTGATAACACAAACACATAAATGGGATTATAGCTCGTTGCTCATTCGAAAGTTTCGTAATTAAGCCGTACGTAGTACTGTGTTGAGCAACGAACTCGAAAGAGCGCACTAGCGCGTGCACACACTACATAAACCCTACGTCACCTGACATCTTCCCCGATGACACGTAACCGTTAGCTCATGCATATGCATACCATTGAATTTAATTTAATTTCTACCATCGGCAATGTTATGATACTAAATTTAAGTCAGGGACGACATTGGGTGACACAACAGTTCAAAGTTCATTTCTGAATCAAATGACTAGTTGTAGGCTCTATGAAAGACGTGCAGTATAAAACACTTGAAGCGTTAACCGTTTACAAGTCCAAAATATGAAATTGCTGAATCGAGATGTGTAAATGACGAAGAAAAATATCATTTCCACCAGAGCCATGATCCCCAACAACTCGAGAAGATCTCACGGTTTTCGTATAAATTGGATTTAACATAATGTTTATTTTTCTTAAATTAAATTCTGTCCCTGCTTTGGCGTCGATGGGAACATGAGAGAGATATAAATCAGTTAATACAACTCTGAACTTGGTTTTTCTCCGTAAGTCATAAACGTATAGAATTCTTTTCTTTATGAAACATCCCCCGATACAACGCAAAATGGCCGAACACAACCTTTTCTATGTAAGTACGTACGGTAATCTGAGGTCCGAAGTCGGTTGATCGCGCTTAGTAATCTAAAAGTGGTACCCGCGGCTCTAGTTATAGTTTAGGACGTGAAAGGAATTCCAGGTGTTATGTAATACTTGTGAAACTCTCATTCAATCACCATACAATTTATATTACCCTGCGAAAGTCCGTATCTTTACAGATATATTATCACAATCGGACGTAATGTGAACATACCTGTTGAATTCAGAGTGTGAAAATCGGAGAAGGGAGCTTTGGGGCTAAGCTATCTATAAAACTAGAAATTAATTCTTTTCTTTACATTTGAAAAAGAGCATATCCCGATTACCTTAAGATGAATAAGTATTAATTGAATTGCCATAGGGTCTGTCTCCGCACCATCTTTTTTTAAGAGGAGATCGTTATTTTGGACTACATGGGGAAAATCAGGCTGACTTGTACTTTCATAACGATATATAAAAACACAGGAGTCTGGGGATCAAACTGAGCATAGTGATTTGGAGTCGATCATGTATCGACTTAGGAACAAGACTGGTGCAGAATATCTCACATGCACACGGGGTTACGACATCATATTCATTTTGGGTGACAGGGGTCTGGGAATTAGACTAAAAATACATGGGATTCACATCTAGGGATTCCCTGATATTTAGACACATTAACAATTTTTAATTAGACGATCACGTTTTTGCTCTAAGCTGTATGTGTTTTATATTTCAAAATTAAGACGAAAACTTATCTAAGCACTATGTATCTTCAAATTGCTTTAGAAGGTTTCAGCTTGACGGAATCAGGCGGATCTCGTAGTGTACGTCATTACCACAGGGACATGAACATCGGACTGTCCTGTACATATTATATAGTCAATGCAATTATACATTTATAAACAAAAATGCATGACAAAAGTACAAGAGGCTGGAGCTGCCGATCAAAACGTGTTCAGGATACCACGAAGTAAACGTTGAATGTGTACCTTGAACTACCTCCCTTCGTGCGTTATTGTAGAAACAGTCTCGAAATTAGTTGTAGGCCCTATGTAGCATTAACAGTTAACAAGTCCAAAATATGAAATTGCAGTATCGAGATGTGTAAATGATGAAGACAAGTATCGTCTCCTCCAGAGCCATGATCCCGAACAACTCCAGAAGATCATACGGTTTTCTTATTAGTTTGATTTAACATAACATTTAATGTTTATTATTTTAATTAAATTCCGTCCCATCAGAGGAACACAAGAGAGATATATCAGTTTATAAAACTCTAAACTTAGTTTTCTTCGTAAGTCATGAACGTATACAATTCTATTCTTTATGAAACATCCCCCAATAAAACACAAAATGACCGAACACAACCTTTTCTATGTAAGTACCTACGGTAATCTGAGGCCCAAAGTCGGTTGATCGCGTTTAGAAATCTAAAAGTGGGACCCGCGGCTCTAGTTATAGTTTAGGCCGTGAAAGGAATTCGAGGTGTTATGCAAATAATACTTGTGAAACTCTCAGAATCACCATACAATTTACATTACCCTGAGAAAGTCCGTGTCTTTACAGGAATATTATCATAATCGGACGTAATGTGAAAATTCGGAGAAGAGGCTGAGCGTATCTAGAACCTAATTCTTTTCTTCACATTTGAAAAAAAGCATATCCCGATTACCTTAAAATGAAATAGTATTAAATGTCTAAACGGCTTGCCGTAGGGGCTAGAAATTTGACTGATTCTATTGCAAAGGGAACTGACTGTGCAGTCATCGGAAACAGGGACAACACTGGGTTCAGTTCACACAGGCGCATGGGAATAAGTCTTTAATAACTATTTTTTTCCCCTTTATAGAATGAAGGGAACGTAGTCTATCTCCGGACGATCTTTTTTTCAAAGGGAGACAGTTATTTTTGACTACATGGGAAAATCAGGCTGACTGGTACTAGTCCGGGGATGGAACAAGACTGGTGCAGAATATCCCACATGGACCTGTGGTTAATTAAACCGACATCATATTCATTTTGGTTGACAGGGGTCTGGGAATTAGACTAAAAATACATGGGATTTAAATCTAGGGATTCCCTCATATTGAGTCACATAAACAATTTTTAATTAGACGATCACGTTTTTGCTTTAATCTGTATGTGGGTTTTTTTAATTTCAAATTGAGGTGAAAACTTATCTAAGCACTATGTATCTCCCAATTGCTTTAGAATGGGTCTCGTATTGTACCGTCATTAATACCACAGGGATTATATACATATCATACAGTCAATGCAATGATACATTTCAAACAAATACACTACGAAAGTATAGGAGGATGGAGCAGTCAATTGAAACGTATGCGTATGTGCGTCCGGACTATCGAAATTTGTACGTCTCTGCTCTACATATGCGTCCGGAATCTCGAAATTTGAACGTCCATGCTCTATATATGCGTCCGTAATATCGAAACCTGTACGTCCCTGCTATATATAACCGTCCGGTATATCGAAACATGTACTCCCTGCTCAATATATGCGTCCGGAATGTCGAAAGCTGTACGTCCCTGCTCTATATATGCGTCCGGAATGTCCACACTTGAACGTCCCTGCTCTATATATGCGTCCGGAATGTCGAAACTTGTACGTCCTTGTTCTATATACGCGTCCGGAATATCGAAACTTGTATGTCTCTGCCCTACATCTACGCCCGGAATGTCGAACCTCGTACGTCCTTGCTCTATACATGCGTCCGGAATGTCGAAACGTGTACGTCACTGCTGTTTATATGCGTCCGCAATGGCATTTCCCGGATTATTTATATTAGAAACCGGAATAATGAGGGGATTTGCAGTTTTATTTAGGAGCCAGACTTAACGTAAAATCGACTTCTTTATCAGCTGAAAGGTGTGGCAGATATAGCTGATATTTGTCAGCACAATGCTCGGTAATTAACTCTGTCCCAGTTACGGGTAGGTGTATATAAATAGACCAGTAGGTTGCTTTGTATACCGATACGAGCTTTGCTCGTTTCCGCATGGCTGACTACGGTATGTGATGGTGTTCACTCAATATAATACAGGCACAAAAGTAAAGGTAAAAATCTAGCGACACATGAACAAAGGCGAGCTCGTTTGCCAGACGTTTAGTACGAGTGAGGGCGGAATATTGACATTTGGTATTACACACGTAGGTACAGTCAAGATGGCGGGCGTAGGAATGGAGGAAGTACGGAGAGTTATGAAGATTCCGGAAAGCGTAAGAAATGTGGCTGTAATAGGCGGGACCGATAGTGGTATGGTACCGCTAATGAATGGTCTCAATAGAAAGGCCGGCCCGAATTTGACCGCTGAAGAGAGTGGCCGGTGTAGAAAGTATGACGTGGACCCTATGGCAGCCAATCTAACCTGCCTTTACCACACGTGCGCTCCGGCCGATCTCCCAGGTATGGAAGCTGTGGAGGGCAATACTGACTTTGTGATTAACATTTTGGACACACCCGGAAGTGTGGATTTCTCAGCGGAAGTGGATACTACCTTACGAATGATGGACGGAGCCGTGGTAATGGTTGACTGTATTTCCGGTGTAACACTGGATACTAAACTAGTTCTTAAACAGTCCATCCGGGAGAGGGTCAAACCAGTCCTATTCGTAAACAATATTGACCGCGCTATCATGGAGCATAAACTTTCGCAGGAAGATTTGTACCAGACAATCCACAGTGTCGTAGAGGCTGCCAAGGGTGTCATGGCAACGTACAGCGACGAGTCTGGACCAATGGGAAGCGTCCAATTTTCACCGGTCAAAGGTAACGTGTTGTTTGGATCTGCATCACAAAGCTGGGGGGTTACTCTCGGGGAAATAGCAGCGAAGCAGGCGGAGAAGTTAAAAGTGGCACCTAGTGTGCTTCTCAGTAAGCTGTGGGGCGATAACTTCTATAACTCGTCACAAAAGAAGTGGAAGAATGAACCAAGTAAAGATTACATCCGGGCGTTCAACCTCTTTGTCCTTGACCCAATTTTTAAGTTGTTTGAAGCATCCGGAAATGTTCAGGGAAGCGCGCTACCTGATTTGATCGAGAATCTAGGTGTGCAGATGAGTTTGGACAACAACGAGACAAACACGAGAACAAATGTTCAAGAAATGATGTGTCAATGGCTACCGATATCAAACTCCCTGTTGACAATGATCGTTATTCATCTCCCTTCACCGCAAACATCTCAGCGATACAGATCCGAACTGCTAGTCAGTCGTAAGACAGACGCAGTCGGCACTTCCGCTGTTAAAACATGTGACCCTTCAGGTCCATTGATCATGTACGTAACAAAATGGTACCAGATCGGAGAAACAAATACATTGTACGCGATCGGTCGTGTGTTTTCTGGGTCGATCGTGTCCGGATCGGAAATAAAAGAATCTCAACGAAAAACCAAAATAAGTGAAACCTCAATTGTAATTGGGGACAAAATATGTCCAGTACCGGAAGTCATCTGTGGTAACTTGTGTGCAATACGTGGCGTTGAACAGATGATCGCCAAGATGGGGGTAGTGACGTCACACAGCAGCCCGGTTGTGTTTACCGATATTAGACATAGTGTCAGCCCAGTTGTTCAACTGGACATTGATCAAAAAAATCCAGGAGATGCTCCTAACCTTTTGATCGAAATCAAGAGACTTATGAAGCTGCATCCGGTACTAGAATGCTCGATAGCGGCGTCCGGCCTTCACATTCTCACTGGTACTAGCGAGCATCTCATGCTGAGGTGCAAGTCCTACCTGGAAAAACAGATGGTTTTGAAACCAACTAAACTGCACGTGGCTTACCGGGAAACCGTTACAGAGGAACCGGAAATGTTGTGTACTGCAGTTTGCCCGAACAATAAGAAAAACGAAATCTCCATCAAGACAAAACCTCTGCCGAATGGTCTATGTGAATGTATTGAGGAGGGATTTATTTCAGCCGACCAGGATCCTGAAGCAAGGGCTGAATACCTCGCGAAAAACTTTGGATATGATGTCAGTGAGGCCGACAGACTATGGTCTTTTGGTCCTGGTAGTTCTGGCTTGAATTTGCTGTACTACATTTCTAAACAGGTTCGCGACCAAGGGCACATTAAGGACAGCATTATATCCGGTTTCCAGTGGGCCGCTCGGGAAGGTATTTTATGTGAAGAGAGCATGCGGGGTGTCAGGATCGAAGTGCGCTATGCAAAATGGCAGCTCGCGGACGATTCGGACGTTGTTGTAGCGATCCGCCGAGCGATACAAGGCAGTATCATTGCGTCTGTTCCACGTCTAATGGAGGCTCTGTTCCGCGTGGAGGTCATCTGCTCTCACCAGGCCACGCGCACTGTCAGGGAGACGTTTACGAATAGACAGGGGAGATTACTCGAGGAACGACGATTGGGACGCACCCCAATGTCGGTTGTTTGCTGTTTCCTTCCCGGTGAAAAGTGTTTAGGAATCAGTGGTGAGCTGGGCAGTTCCGCTAAGCGTGTCGAAGTTGCATTTGACCATTGGGAACTAATGAACAGTGACCCTCTTGATCCTGAATCGGCGGCTGCACTTGTTGCCATGGAAACGAGGGCAAGAAAGGGACTGCCTTCTGATATTCCCGGATCACACGCAAGTTCCGCATGATTGTAATTCATGTGGGTTGACATGAAAACCAGGAGATTAATTTTCAAAATTGATAACGACAATCAACCTCTCATACAATATTGCATATTGTGTATTTTTTCGTCATTGGTTTGGGGGGCGTCAGTGTGTGTTCACGGGTTATCTACCCCTTGCCTGGATTGTATACTTAGAATCCGGATTATGTGTAATCGATTATGTAGCCTAATATTATGGGGTCTTATACAATGGAATCTCGTTTATACGGCACCATATATTCCAAAAACACTTTTGTTATACACTTTATGGATAAAGGTGAAACTGAACCATTCGTCTAAGTTACACTTCCCTTGTCATTATAACCCAGAAAACTTGTTATTCGATAATATTTGAGAGAGGGAGAGGGCTTGTATATGCTTTGCATGTTGCCCAATTCCCATTAAATCTGATTGATGTAATAAAATATTTTGAAATGAAATATTTGAGAAAACAGACAATTCAGTTTAAAGGAGCTTTACTGTACTAGAATGACTATTCTATGTAACTGTGTTCTTAACATTCTGTATCTAGTTTGCATAAAAAATGATCCTACTAACTGTGACACGACTTTTGACGGAACAAGAGTACAGTGACACAGGGACGTGAGAATCAGTGTTACAGTTGGTATGTCGAGACCTATGATAATGTACAGGGTGTAATGCTAGAAGTAATGGACGTTAACATCAACACCCCATATCACTGAACAGGGGCAGGTTAACCGAGAGTTGATCTAAACCACAACTGAATACATCAGTTTATAGGTATAAATACAGCTGGTGTAACAAATTCCCATGTCCCTGTGTAAAGTGACACCTCGGTAATCCATTTTTTCATTAATCACGAAAGTCGTTTTTTATCTAAATAAGAATCCTGGATTAGCAAACTTCCGTGGTACTAACTTGTTTTAGTATCAACTACAGATTTGGCGGATATTCGACGATACTTTCCGTTGTGTTCAGTGAGGCCTGGTGTATAGAATGATCTTTTCATGCAGCGGGTATGTAGAATGCGTGGCCTCATGCCAGGAAGCGGGTTACACAGTATATACTTTGTAACCCACTTCCTGGTATGAGGCGCATTCTATGTAAATCCAAACATACTAAATAGCAATTCTAAATTTAAACCCAATAATTCATTTATATTTGTTCACTTAACAAACAACATGGAACTTGAAGCTGCTTGGTAGCATGGATCAAGGTCTCGTACCTGATCATCAAGGGAAGCTGTTATTCGCCAAAATGATATCAATCTACGGATTGGTGTCAAAAGAGGTTTTTCCCATTGTCACTGCTGTTTTCGTTGATCTGAAAGAGAACAAAAGTTTTGAAAACTAGTGAAAAGCCGATGATCATTTAAAATAGTGTACAAACACAGGGACCTGATCATTTGTACTATACATGTACAGTATTTGAACCTAAATTGAGGTGTTCAAAGTAATTTTGCACGGTTTAGGGGTTAACATCAATTTTCGGTACAAACGCCACCCCTAATGATTGTATATACCTGTTAAATTAATCTAAACACCTCAATTTTGGTCCAAATATAGCTGTAACAAATTTGCAGGTCCCTGTGTGAATATTGCATTTGATATATATTCTTCCAGATCAAAAATTCTCGTATGTTCTAAGCCAGCATGTGACAGGGACCCGGAAAAATCTATATGTATCTTTAAACTGCATGTTAATGTCACAGGGGCCCGGCAATATTTCTGCATGTGTCTTGATAATAGCACAGTGGCCCGGCAATATTTCTGCATGTGTCTTAATAATATCACGGGGGCCCGGCAATATTTCTATGTATGGCATCAGTGCTGTAGGTATGTCACATTGACCTGTGAGATGGGTTCTGGGTGCGCTCAGGGTGATTTTATTTTCATGAAAATATGTGTCACCATTTCATAAGAACTAATATATAAAATTAATTCCATCTATATTTGTCTAACACTACTTCTGTCTCGCCATATTATGTATATCTAGGTGGGGTGAGTTTGTCTGAAAATAAGTTTATTCATTTTAAAAGCCATGTTCTACTTAAACACCCTGATAACCTACGTTTCTGGATCGAAAGAAGTACACATAGTGTATTGACTTTTTGTTAAATGACAACAGTAGTGACAAATCGACTTGTACAGCCAACACCCGAACTCGAGCTGTCAGTTCGTGGTGATCCCAAAACACACATGGGATTAACACGTATAGTATTTACTATTTCGACTGTATCATTGTGTCTGTTCCCTGTGGCTCAACACTGTACATTGTACAGTATCAAACTTATGTATTTATGAGATGATGAATTTGATAGAAATATTCCTTCAATATGGGGTACATTTAAGACAGAAACATTTCAATCGATTGGGTGGGATAATTTAATATCCATCCCAAGGCTATGCTAGGGTATTGACACGTGTGACGCTTACCCCGACGGTTGAGATTTTCTTTGTCAACCCCATGATTGCATTTCTCTGTCACTTAAAAATGTATAGGATAACTAGTCCACAGCTATACCATGACGTCATCCTCAAACCTAGGGCACGAATGTTAAGGTTCAGTGTGTTAAAGCACGAAGCGTTACTGAGGGCTGTACTTCTAACAGCTTTTCCAATGGTTGATATTTCTTGGTCTATCACATACAGAAGTGATTTACATTTTTTTCCTTCAACACTTTCCCGTCGTCATTAACTCTTAAGCTGTAATGGATTATCCCATGCAACGCGCCATTATTAAAGTATTGACGCATGACATATTGTTGACAGCGATCCTACCTGATGTCACGATTCTATTATTAAGTGGCGATTCTATAAATACGCTTCTGAACTGTTTTTATTTAGGTAGACCAAGGCGGGTTTATATTTCCCTTTGCAGATACGTTCCTGTACATTTGAAGTGTGTGAGAATAAGATGTTATGGTGTTTTTTTTTATAAAGTTAACCGGTTTTGTGTATCACATGCTATAGGAAATAATATAGCCAACCAGAGTTTGCGTAACAGACACTAAAGAATGTATAAGCCAATCAGGTTTTATGTATCAGAGATGATAGGATGTACATGTAATATAGCCAATCAGGGGTTTTGTAACAGACACTGAAGGATGTATAAGCCAATCAGGTTTGGTGTATCAAAAGCTTTAAGATGTACAGTATTATAGTCAATCAGGTTTTGTGTATCAGAAGCGATATTATATAAGTATGACATTCATTAGCTTTTATGAATACCCGAGAAAACCATTGTCACCCGAGGCGAAGCCGAGGGTGACAATGGGTTTTTGAGGGTTGACAATATTCACTGTCACCTGCTAATGAATGTCATATCTATTTTGTTACACCAAAAGTCTTTGTAGCTCAGAAACGGCAGCAAACCTTGATAATGACATCTTGTTTGTTTATAGTTTGCTGTTTACAATCGCTATCGCATCGGCGCTTGATAAAATCGGCTGTTGCCGTCAAACGTTCTTGTGACCATCACGGTGGGGAAATGAAGCGGTGAACGCATGTTTTTCGCGCATGTGATATTTTTCACTGTCTCATGGCAATTTCACGCGCCCCTTAAAACCATTGTATTTTCGGAGGGTGACAGAGGTTGTTTGTTTAATTTTCTCCCAACCAATCAAATAGCTAGAAATTCACTTGAGGTGTAACAAGATGTATTGGCAGTACATCGTTATACTAATCAAAATTATTTTCATAATGGTCTTTTACACTTGTTCACATTTCAATCAAAACTTGTTTTTTCTTACTGTAAACCAATGCATAGTCTGCGCACATTTGAAGGACGACTCGGGGTGATACCCCTAGATCGAGGGATTGAGATATTGTTTGTTTAATCTATAATACATTTACCATATTTGTTCAAAATTACTAACTTGTTAATAAAATTTACACTAATAAACTCGTGTATAAAATGAAACTTTGTTGCTTTAACATTGTTCAGTCACCTAAGCCGAAGTCTCAGTTAACCTGTTGCGATTGCCTTTTGTGTGTCGTTGTCGTGCGTGGCCCCCTGGGGCCCGATGAGTGTTGCCAAAAGGATTCAAATTGGCTAAAACTTTAACAATCTTCTTTTTAAGGGACCAACATATACCGGAATCAAATACTCTTCATGGATGAAAGATCCTAAGGTGCTGTATCAAAATTGTGAATTCCGAGGCCCCCGGGGTCTTCCATTTCCAAAGGGGAGGGAGGGGTTAAAGTTCACTATCGTTTATCTAGAGGAAGGACGCTTTTGGATATATTTTACTTATTTTCAGTGGAATGTAAGTTAAACCTGGTTGGAATTATGAACATGGGATTGCAGTTTGATGGTATGAAAATGAAGGTCCTGACCTACCTGAGGGGTGGGGCCAAAAGGGATCAAATTGGCTAAACGTTCAACAATTCTCTTCTCCACGGGACCCAGATAGTTTGGGTTTAAGTGGTCTTCATGGATGTAAAGGTCTGAAGATGCCTTATCAAATTTGTGAATTTTATTATCGACGGGAAATATAGGGGAAGGGGGTAAAGCTACTTTATTTATATAAGGTAATGAGACTTAATGTTATAACTATTTATTTTCAGGGGGAAAGAATTTAAATTTATTTGGAGTTTGATGGCTTGATTGCAGTTGGATGGTTTGAAAATATCGAACTTTACTAATTGTTAGGGCTCGAGGGATTTGGCCAAAGGGGGTCATTGGCAAAAATTTCCACAATCTTCTTCTTCTGACAAAATATGTTAAAATCAAAATCCTCTTCATTGAATGGTCTGAAAGTGAATTCAACAACCCCCGGATCATCCATTACTCTCTGAGGAGGGGGATGATTTTACTACATTCTATTATTTTACTATATTCTTTTTCTGACAGTATCACGACAACAAATATCAATTGTGGTATTACAACTCAGGTGACTGTTAAGGCCAATAGGACTCTAATTGTTATAGTCCCTTATCGGTGATATTTGATTGTAAGGTCAATTACGGTGGCCAGATCAGTGCCATTTCGCTTGGGCGTAAA